CATAACTTCCCTTCATCATAAAGAAATATGTTATAGGCTTACAACTGTATCGCAGGCTGAATGTTAGAGTCTTACTGCAGTTTTATATCCATGAGCCGAGGCCACTTCTAATTTATCTAGCATACACATTGATCCAAAACCCCTTTGCCATACATATTCAATTAACTAGTCTGAGTGCTATTGGGGTTATGCTGACATATACAAGAGGATTTGAGAAGAATGAATTTATTCTTGTGTCTAATTAAATTGTTAATTCTGTCATTTAAGTATTGCAAGGTATTTTATCATATTTCTTAGTTATTCTACTTAATAAAAACTTCAACTTCAAAATCTTTTGCTTCATTTATAGCTACTGTATAATGATGATTCAACTTTTGAGGATATTTATGAAAGGGGAACCAAAGTCATTGTCTTTGTTTGCATCAGGTGTGTTCTTACAAGAAATTATTAGCAAGGTACAAGAGCACAATCTGAGAAATGGCTTCACCCTCATATTTGAAAGCAGTTTTGCTTCTTAAGAAATTCTTGTGCAATTCATACTATTTAATAATAATTCAGGGAAAGTGTAATAACAGTTTTCATAATATTTTAGTTTGCAGTTTCTTGTAAAGCAGGGAGATGTACAAAATATGATATACTTCCACTTTAATTAAACTGAACCTTGGCCAGAGCAATGTCAGTGGTGAAACTGAATTTCTTACAGGCACAATTAAGACAAGAGACTCTATCATTACAACAGCAAATTTTCTTAATCACATATTAAAATACATGGCACAAATCTGGCTGATATATAACATAGTTCAATAATTCCTGTCTGAAACAGAAGCACTTACACTGAGACATATTCTGTCCCCATCAAGCTATGCTATGAAAACTTCTCTTTGGCAACATAGTATCTCATATTATTTGAGTCCTTTTGTCTGTATCAAGCCATGAACTGTGGGAGGGGAAACAGATTCAACTCCCTGCATTTATGTATACATACTGTCATATTCAATATAAGAGTAAATGATATTCAGTCAGTCCTTTGTTTTTTCAGGTTTTAGAGCATGTTAGTAGTGTTTACACTGTAGCTTTCATACAACAGTAACTTAGAAGGTGTGCCAAATGTACTGCAGTACCAGCCTACCTAGTGATAATGAAAGTGATGGGAGAAATAGGAGAAAAGTGTATAGGTGTTTTGTTATGTTTGTCAGTTTATAGCAAGTTAACACAGTTTATACAATAACAGTCACAATAATCTGTACTTTCACTAATGATTTAATAATAACGAAATCCAATGATGCTTCCATGGAAGTGACACTTTCCTTAAAAAGAACTGGTATGACTAATGGTTCAAAGAACAAACCTGCAAAATCCCCACAAAAAAAATAAATAAAAGTACCAGTGTCTCAGCATTGATGAAACATTTAAAATGTAATATACTGAGATTAAAAGCAACAGCATTCAGAAAACGAAAATTACAAGCATCATTTTTTACATGCAATTAATTTTACATTGTTTAAAGGCACAATAAAGCTTGACTCCACAATGTATATATGAGTTGGGTGTCATGTAACACTTTTCAGCAGTTATAGTTAGTTAATAGTTTAAATTGGAACCTAAGTAGATGATCACAATTTCTTTTTAAAATTCTGTAATTGGAGCCGGTACCTGAAAATATGAATAATAACCTTGTTTACATATATAAATTTATTGCACCAAGAGGCAAGAAAGATATCTGGAACATCAATTAAAGAAGAACCTTGATATCACATCTGATTACAGTCAAAGCAGAACACTTGGTAACATTCATCTGTTTAGGACTCTGATTACTTGCACCATTCTATATTCATTTTAATTAGTCTATATTTTAAAACTGTGTCCATATTTAGAAAGAGTTAACTGTATAACTTATTATAATTATTACAACACAATTATCTACATATTTTTTTTATAGTTCAAAATTTAATTTAGTATTTCAGTTTTAAATCCAGCATTGTTTGAAAATCAGTAGAGCTTCCAGACATTTCATTTACTGCTAAATGGCTACGAGATAGTATGAAGTAAAATTCTTATGATATAAGCATTCATCCACAGTATACCAAATTATATTTATTTGAGGTCCACTTTGTAGTCAAAGTAAGTGCTACTTCAGCCCACAGAATCTGGACATTCCTGATGTACAATCATCTTCATCAAAATATGTATTTAAATTAATGGACAAAGTATCAATAATGACACAACTTAATGTACCATTATAAGTGTTAATCCTTTTTTTTTGTGTTAAGGCAACCTGTCAAAGTGGGCTGTACTGTCAGTGGTTCTGAAGATTCTTATTGTCTTTATGGCTGTGGGATAATAACTTAGCCTTGAAGTTAATAAGATCTTCAAAACATCAGCAATATAATCCTCTTCCACACAACACCATTATCCAAAACAGGAACAACATAAAGACTAAACCACCTTTATGGGGCCACGCCATAGCTCAAGCGGTTAGTCACTGTCTTCCCACCACGGTGACCCAGGTTCAATCCCGGGTCTGGTCAAGTGGGATTTGTGCTGGACAAAGTGGCGCTGGGGCAGGTTTTCTCCGAGTACTTCAGTTTCCCCTGCCAATCTTAATTCCACCAATTGCTCCATAATCACCCTCACCTATCATCAGGGGCTGGTACAATACGCCAGAAGTGGCCGCAGTACAAGGGACTTAGTCCCACCCCACTAGCATTAAAAAAACACACCTTTATAGCCTGAAATCATTTGTATCAATACTGATTTCTTGAGTACCCGTTTATAGTAAAGTGAATCTGACAGTAACACACATTGACCTTTAAAAAGTAACATCAGAAATTCTTTCTTTCATCTTAAACTTGCTTTCACAGATCACACTCTCTCCATGTCCCAACTAGAAATTGCATAAATGTGCACATATGTAAGAACTCAGCTCAGAATGTAGCCAATGACTTGTACCCCCTTCCCAGTCTAATTTCCAGTTCTTTTTGAAAAACAGGTAAAGATGACAGCTGCATTATGAAAATGACACAAAAGTTGACATTAATTCATTAAAGAACATTAAGCAGGAAAATATTCTACCTGTTCTCATATATTTAAACATGCCTCAGAATCTTAGAACATTTATCAAAAATGGCATCTCATTCCCAACAAAAGTGCATACCAAATATTTAACTCACTGGAAACCGAAACTTCTGTTAAAATATTTTTTCAAGGTAAACATTTAACGAAATAACCATAAAAAACACTTCTAGTACAGTATCAGTTTTTACTGACCAATAAACCCTACATACTGCATATATTTTATTTATAGGCATCAGTAGTCGTTCATACCAAATTTAACAAAAATCTGCCAAATGGGATCAGGAACTGAAACAGTGACAAATAGAGTACAGTTATGTTACTTACACGCATAGATTTTTCTGCAATGATAGCAAATCATCTGTAATGTACTCTTAAAACAAATTATAAATGTGTTTCTGAAAGTGAGGAAGGAACAGAACACCAAATATGGATAAACTCTTTATTTTAATTCAAATTACTTGCTCCTTTTTCTTTTTGAAATTTCACCTGGATTTTTGGACTTTGTTCATTGTCTGGTATTCTAGAAACTAGAAAATTCACTGTTTCAGAAACTTCATCTGTTTCTGTCCACAGGTGAGGGGAAGACACTAGTAATTCAGGTTAGCTCTTTCTAAGGGATCCCTTCACCTTAGGACAGAAACAGATGGTTTCTGAAACATTGTGTTTTCTAGAACACTGGACAATGGACAGAGTCTCAAAACCCACTAATTCTGAATAAAAAGGAAATGTTACAAAAATGATTAGATAATGGGAAGTCAAATAAGACATCAGTAGTATACTTTATATCTTAATTTTAACTATTTGCTTTGTTTTTGTCAAGTATGCTTATCCCTTCTCACATCTAAGATTTTTTGGGGGGGAGGGGAGAAGAACAGTAGGAGAAGGAACTATATACATGCAAAGAACATATAAATATCACAGAACCATTACATCAATATCATCTGGTGTACAACTTTGTGGGTGTATGCATCATCTTGCACCACTCACAGAAAACAATGATATACCAGTGAGTGGTAAGAGCTGAAATTCATAAAATGACTCACATGCTATGGAAAAAGGCAACTAGTTTAGGTTAAAATTATTTTGACAGTGTTATAATGATAAACATTTACAACAAGGAAATTCAAAATTTTATTTTGCTGCAGAGTATCAAAATAAAAAAGCACCTCCTTAATGACATGGGTGTGTTCCTGGAAAACACTACAATTATCAAAACCATGGTTGACAAAACCAGGATCTAACGGAAAACTGAGGGTCAGGAAATACAGCTGCTGTTAGCACTCCTCAAAGCCCAAGCTCGACGGTCTTTCAATAAACATAAAAATGCATGAAAATACATTTAAAAATAAATACATCAAAATATATGTCAGGAAAAGACATGACAATGGTAATTTGGAAGTGAGAAAAACTGGTTCTGGATACCACTACAGCTGTCTACAGGAAATGTGGTGCAGAAAACACAGATTACTATCAGGTGCACAAAAATGATATACTAATCCATAAAACCATTCACTTTGGGTGGAAAAATGGATATAATTGGAAATTTGTAGATACCTGACATATGCAATTAGTAAAGGTATACATGAGGAAATCATATATGACACAAGGAACCTGCACCCATACCTGATGGTACAGACACAAAAGAACAAAGAACTGCATTACTGATGTAACTTCAGGAATAATACATGCTATGGCAACACACAATTTTTAATGAAGTGAAGAATTTTATTAAAGTCCTCTGATCATACCTGCTACTTAAATTATAGACAGAATATGTAAGATTTGAGGTTTTCACGGCAGTGACTATGAAGAAAGCAGTCTTCTGGGATGTGGCACCGTGTAGATATTGTGACATATTTCTTCTAGCCTGAAGATGGAGGTGATACATTCCTCCGAAACATTGGTTAACACAATATATACACGGCATGACATCCCAGAAGACTGCTTTCTTCTTTAGAGAAAGAATAATTTTATTTTTGTAACATAAATTAAAATGTTAGGCTTACAAATTCTATTCTGCATTGGGGGAGACTCTTCTGTGTTGTTGCATAATTATTTTTAACAAAAGACCCCTTGGTAACACATGGAAAAAATGTATTCCAAACAAGGAATAATATCTGTGCCAGAGCTCTAAAGGATTCAGATGTGCTTATGTGTACTACAGAAGGGTGGTGGACCGTTCAAGTATCACTAACCAAATCAATGACTTCCAAATTCATCAAAATTTTGCATGCATGAATTCCCAAACAAAAGGACTTGTAATTATGTCAATAAAATAACCAGAATGAGTTCTGTCCAATATGTGGCAGCACTGGCAAAGACAGTGCATATTGAAATCCCCACAAGACCCTAGTCTTCTAATTTAAGCCAGGAACAAAATGGCTAATTCTCCAATGTGAAAGTAACAAAAAGTACTAAATCCATGATTGGAGAAAGCATATTTTGCAGCATAGCAATGCACCTTCCCAAATCTTGTATCTTGTTAATTTTACAAGCTCCCATTATTGAAAATTTCAGTTATTCAATTTAAGTTCAGACTTTCACTGATGGTTCTCAGAAAAAATTGACTGCTGTACTGGAATGACTTCCATAGCATAATTTCCAGTGATGCGTTCAGGCATGAAACATGCATATGATGTCAGAAGGAAAGTATTTCATAGGCAAAAACAAATTAATGGTTACTGACAAAATACTTTTTGTCTTTTATAGAGTCAGTCTGGATATTTTATTGTCAAACCTCTTATGTATTTTAGGAACATATCCAGCTTATCAATTTTTCTCTTGAACAAACAACAAATAATTACAAATTAAAATTTTCATCCCTCAAAGTAGTACATAATTTAATTCTCTGCATGTGTATACTCGTACATCAGATCTTAACTGCTGTATGTTTTTTTAATTCACTTTACAAACTTTACATTATATTTTTGTTTATGAACTTTCTGCATAACCAGAGCATATTTCTATTAATTTGACAGGATTCATAATTATATATACTTAACAATATACACATATTTCTGAAGGTCTTCTATTACAGAATTTAATAGAAGAACAAATGACTATAAATGGCTGAATCATTAGGTACTGTGGCACTGCAATACAGTAAATTTCATTTTACAGAATATAAGGTGTGCAGAAAGGAAGGAGGGAGAATTGCAGTGATTATAAACTAAGATCTAAATGACTTTATGGCTCAAAATTGAGTATGTAATCTTTGAGTTGTGCGGGTAAAGGTAGTTTATTTATATGCATTCCTGGGCGTCTTCCTAAAGCAACATATATGGCTACACGGCAGATCTGCTTGAGCGTCCTTGGTCGTGCATATAGTTCACGCACCAGTTTACAGAGTGCACTCCCACGCACTGGTACCAGACCAGTCTGCTGAGTATATAGCACCTTGAGACATGCAAATAACTCTTGATGGTTCATGCAGAAATAATAAAGCCATATTATACGTGCAAATCTCTGCTGTGGATCCAGGAGAAGTTCTTCTTTACGACATATCAACATTACGTAATAATACAGAATCTGGTTTGATGACTTCTTCAAGAACACTGATGACTGTGAATGACATATTGTCATTGACTCTGAAGTTGAAATATTTATATTTGGATTTGCACCATACTGTATTAAAGTCAACGTCAGATCATACACATGATTGAGGTCAGATGGCCCCCGTGCATTCTGAACCATATCCATGAGTGATTGGAGGATGTGTTGAGTCCTCTGGGAGAAGCGTACAATGGGATCAAGACCATACTGTAACAACAGTACTAGAAGACTGCGAATGAATTCAAAGTTCTGAGCTTTCTCCTCTTCACGGTTAAGAGCAATGTTTTCACTAGCAGTGAACACCAGCACATGGAGTGGAGTGAGATTGCTTCGAGATGAGCAGTTAGGATTTGCACCATGTTTACAAAGAATCCTTACACAGTTCAGGTAACAAACCTGTAAAAGCATTGTTAGTATGTATTAATTTTTTGTACATATCAAATTTAAAACACAGGTTCACAGAAACTAGATCTACCATCATCTCCTTGTTGAGAATATTTTACAGTTTAAAATATGTGACCTTCTACCGATATCTTTGGGGATTCTTCTTCTAGTATGACCTCTTTCTTTCCCAACTATAGTAACATTCAAGTTCAAAGATTTTTATTTCAATAGCTACATGTTGCTTTATATGATCAGTAATTGTGCAATCTATGGCACACATGCTGACTGCTCAAACACTGTGATTACAAGTTTAAACACTGCTTGGGTCATAGATCAAAGTCTATTTTTTGTGTCTTCTCTTGCATCATCCTGTGTAGACAGTGATCATGTGATGAGTTAATATTCCATCCAAGGAGACCTATATTAAATGTCTAAAAGATTAATATTAAAATTAATTCCAAATCTGAACAAGCTAAAGGGTCTAATCCATAACAGCCAAACAAGACGACAAAGGTTATTTTATAATCAAAGTTCAGTTCTCCCAATTTAATTTGTGTGCAGCTAATACATAGGCCTATAGAAAATTACAGTATGTTGCCAGAAAACAAGCTTTCGCAGCAAGGTTTTGCCAACATGTCACTAACACTCTGCTAACAATACCTAAAGGTTTCATGCTGCTAGTATCGAAGCTTGCTGTCGGACATGATCTCAATACATTTCCATCCATCCCCCACCCCTTCCTATTTCCACAAGATATGCCTTAACACTGTTCTCCAGTTTCCTTTAATATCTTCTTCAAGGCAGTTGCTTTCCCAGGTTTCTCCACCAAATGTCTATATATATTTCCTGCATCTCGCATCAAAGCTACATTTTTTAAGTCCATCTTCGTTTCCTTAACTTCACTACCTAAAAAATACAGGGGCGACTTGTATAAACCACAAATTTCCTTATAAATGAGTATCATAATCTGCCACTAATTTATCATCCTTGGTGAAAATATTTTCCTTGGCACATTATTTTTAAACATTTTTATTTTACGTTCTTTCCTCAAAGAATGATACCTTGTCTTGGAATCATAGTAAATAATAGGTAAATGGGTAAAATGGCCATTTATATACATAATTTTAAACGTTTTGGAAAGAGATAGGATGTTAACAGTTTCAAATTGTATAATTACAAGCACTTTCTGAATTTATTTTTGCTTTCTTAATATCATTATGAGGCTAATTTTTGTCTGCTGTTTATTTTGAAACATTTTCTACGTATGCAGGGGAACACTGAACACAACTTTCTACAAAGTTAAAAGAAACATATTCTCAGGGAATAACAGCAACCTCTTCTGTCCCTCACTTCTTAAATAAGTATAATAATTAATTTCTTCCAATACTGTAGCATATTCTCCCCTATTCTAATAGACTATAAATTCATGAATTTTCCACCTGTTTGGAGTGGATTGGTTGGAGATTGATACCATTCCAACTTTTCATATCGCATTGAGCTTATAAGGCAGTACTGCAGCTACATAAAGAGCTGACCCCATGTTTTACAGGTCAGGAACTGCAGATGAAAAGCTGGCATCAGGAAGCAAAAAGGTTCAGCATCCATGATGCAGACCATAAATATTTGTGAAAATTTCTAATATTCCATTTCAAGCATCATACCCTTCAGCTGACCAGCAAAGGCAATGGAATTATAAAGTGACTTCTCATTGATTCTGAATTACGCAATGCACCTCAAAAGTAGAGGGGGCACATGGTGGCATAGTTGGTTGAGGCACTTTTCTACAAGCCGGAAGGTCATGAATTCGAGACCTGATGAGGTGAATTTCTTCAATTTACCTGATCCTTCCAGCCACACTATGGCCTTGCAGATGATTCAGCCTCTAAGAGAAATGAGTACCAGGATTATTCCTGGGGCATGAAGGGTGGCCGGTGTGTAAGGCTGACAACCTTACTGCCCATCTCTGAGCTAGCTGTCTAGAGAAAATGTGTGGGATCCTCAACAATCTCACAACCTTATGGGCCTTCATGGCCTGTCACAGGGATAGCTTTAACTTTTTTAGCTCTGACCTCAAAAGCAGAGTCATCAGTTATAATGTAACACATCCAGAAATAAAGAATTAGATGAACTACGCAAGTATGGCAATAATTGTTAAAAGAAATCAATGTTTACTAAATTTGAAATTTCTCATAGGATATGTCAGCTCTGAGGACATCACAGTTCCCATATACCTCACATTTTCAGAAGTGTAAATCACAATTTTTCTAAATATTTTGCTTCACTTTCCAATATAAGACAAATTCCAATTTTTTGACAAAACTGAATGTACAAGAACTTATCTTACAGTCAGACAAATATGATAAATTCATTTTTCCATATATCTGTAATACCATGGGAATCTGCAAGTAGACCACAAAACTAAAGACAAGTCTCAGCTTCATATTAATGTCAATTAATAAATTACCTAAGTGCAGAAGGGTGTACATTATTCAGGAATTAGGATATTCAATAATGTACCACAAGGCATCAGGAATCTATTAAATGATATTACTAAATTCAAACAGGCTCTAAAAGAGTTTCGTCTTGCTGGTTCATTTTATTCTTTAAATGAATATTATGAATGGAATGTAAGGGGTGATCTTGATTCTTATAAATAGTATATAAAATTAACCTTGACAAGTCCTATTAACTAATTCAAAATATATAATCATCTACTTTAGATCTGAATACATACCAACTATGACTTTTATTTATTTTAACATGCAATCTCTTGTTGTTTTATGAATTTATTTATTTATTTATGAATGTATTTATTACCATAATAATTTGTAGTACACTTCTGAGAGAAGTTATTTATTCCATTTATTGTTCATGCATGTTAGATGTTTTTATAGTTTTTCTATTGATGTGTGAGTGATGTAACATACATTATTTGATACTGTGTTGTTCATTGAGAATATCCATTCATATGCATTGTTTTATAAACTGGATGAATTTTATAAGATAAAATATTTTCATCTAGTATTTAAGTCTTGTTGTAGTCACATTTTATTATGTTTAGTGACTGTGTTGTCTATGTTTTATATTACGTTATTTTGACTTGTTCCAGTGATTGGTTGGAACATTTGTTTTGATTTTTGACACATTCTATATCCAGTGGTGCATCAACTTGTTTCTCGCCCTGTAATTGGATCTACTTGAATATAAGAATAAATTAAATTAAAGTCACACAAAACCAGTAGTTTAAGTGGAAAAACTTTTTAACTACCTTAATCATTTCCATATCAACCCAGAAGTCATGGAAGAAATTTTAACAACTGCTTAGAGTTCGGTAAGTTTACCAACTTTGGCTAATTCACTGTTCTAGAAGGTAAAGTTGACCATGTGCTTAATTTAGCACAAACAAGACATACAGACAAGTGGAGGTATAGTTCCATCAATTGTGACCTTGGCACTAGATGGAGGTGCGTGGTAAACTTCATACTCAGGCCACTTTACACCCAAGGAAAGAGCCCCTGATGACCACTGTACAGCAGGCTGAGTAGGCACACAAGCCAGTCTGGATGCTGTGGAGAAGAGAAAAATCTCTTGCCCTCTGCCAGGAATTGAACCCCACCCATTCAGCCTGTAGCCTATCTTTATAGTGATGGATTTACTGTCCTATCTCCCTCTTATTTTATAATATTTCAAAATTCTATTCTCTTCCTGAGAGTGTATATACTTCCTAACACACATATTACATGTACTGGATCTTCCAGAATCTTCATGAAACAGTGGACTTTATAGAATGCTCACAACGAAAGGTTTCCACGGAGGATTCAGATTTGAATTGAAGAGCTTCAAGCTTAATCAGAGATCACACACCTAGAAGCTAAAAGCAGTACCTTTCAACTTTCAAAATTCTGAGACCTCTGTTAAATGTACAGCCCTCATATCATTGTAGGACCTTTTATCATTTTAATAGCGAATTCTGAATCAAAAGCAACTGATATGATACAACAGAAAGGTAATTTTTGTAATACGATGAGATTTCAAATTCATCAGTCATCAGTCACTTACTTTCATAGTGTGAGTGAAATGATGAAGTGGATCCTTGTTGATAAGTGGTACTAAACACACCATGAGCGGTACAGATCCATCTCGCCCAACAACATCAGGATTTCCTCCTTCCTGAAGCAACATATTGAGTAATTCGTAACGGAATTCCCAGTCATGAACATGTCTCAATACACACGCAAGTGCGCTATTCCCAGGTTGATTTATAGAAGGACGGGCACCATTCTGCAGGAGATACCGCACCTAGAACACAAAACAAAATTAATTAACATCATGGACCAGAATTCCTCTTAAGAAGCTTATACCTGCTCAACTAATTAAGAAATTCCACACTTTTAAGAAACTCAAAGTTTATTAACATACTTACAAAAGCCCGCCAGAGTACCATATACTGAATGGGATCAATTTAGCAGACATTGCCACACCCTATTTCAAGAACCAGTTTAATAGTATCCTCCCATTTATACCTAGCTCTCCCAAATAGTTCCTTCTTTTGAGGCTGAAAATTAACTTTCTTACTGTGTGTGCCAAATCAAAGATGAAATCCCAAACTTCAAGGCCAAGGATGCCCTTCAGATTTGCTAATCAATATTCCAGACAAATTTCTCATTTTACTATGCAGGCTGCTAGCCCTGCCTATCTCATCCTCCTCGATTTCTTGATCAGTATGAACTATGAAATTTCTCATTATGCCACTTGCTCCAACCTCCTGTCACTTTCATTTAGGTTCAAACATTTTCCTCTGCACCCGTTTTTCTAACACAATTTATGCTCTCACCCCTTTATAAGAAAATTATACTTACATGTATTTCTGTCTATATATTTTTAGACAGAGACATCAAATCAAAAAATTCTGAACCGAATGATAGCAAGTTTCCCCCAACTGATTCTGGTTCTCATTCTTTAACAAATGTAATTCTGACCTGATACTGTCATTCCTCTCAGTATTTGAATTTTCCCAGATTTTTTAAGAATTTATCAGCTCTCTTTACATTATAATTTTTACCTACATTCTGAGGATGAGATAAGAATATTTTCTCTGAATTCATTTCTACAACAGTCTCCCTGCTAACAACCAACATAGGTCCTATGTTCTTGCAAGTATTTAATATTTTTACCTCAAAATTATAATTACACTTATAAATACATATGTGAAATAAGGTTATCACAGCAGTATATACTATAGATTACTGTCATTTGGGATGCAAAGCTGTGAAGACTGGCAGACAGTTAAAAGTGTTTTGGAGTAACCTGCAGCCTTAATGTTCAGCAGGCAGCAGGTTCCTCCAAAACACTGGTAACTATTTACCAGACTACAAGGTGTCACCTCATAAGACAGTAATCTACATAATTTAATAGCTTTGAGAGATTACAGCTTATTATCTCTGCTAGAACACTCCCTCATTAAAAGCAGAATATACTGGGGTAAACTAAGGTAAAGCTATCCCTGTAACAGGCCATGAAGGACCATAGGGTTGTGAGATGAGGCTCCCACAATTTCTAGAAAGTCGGCTTACAGATGGCAGTGAGTTTGTCAGCCTTGTGTGTCAACCACGTTTTACCCTCAAGAAGATTGCCGGTTCTCATTTCTGTCAAGAAATGTCAGGGGCAAGATTTTCTCTTCTCCACAGCATCCAGACCAGCTATGGAGCTAACCCAGCCTGCAATCCAAACACTACTGGGGGCTCTTTCCCCAGGGGTTAAGCAGCCACTGTGTGAAGCTGGCCACGCACCAGCAAACTAATGCCGAGGTCAGAAATGGTGGAGCTACACAAAGTGGTATCAGAAAGTTCCTGGACTATTATTGTTGTAACTGCCTTGCTGACAGAAGATGGGGGAGGGGGGGGGCAAGGTCACACTTCCGAAAGCCTATTGCATCAGTCTGCCATGTGATTCCATGATGGGAACAAGCACTGCTATTATGAATGCTATTTCGACTTTGTGTTTCATTTTGTCTGTGATGGATGGCAACATTGAACATGTCTGCATCAAGTTTTGCACAAAGCTTGGTAAATCTACTACCGAAACCTCTAAAATGCTTCGTGAGGCTTATGGAAAATATTATTTAAGTTGGACAGTCGTTTCTGAATGGCAATCACGTTTCAAGGCTGGTCGAGTGTCAGTTGAAGATGAAGAATGTTCAGGGTGACCAAGCACCAGCAAAATAGCAGAAAATGCTGGAAAATTTTGAGAACTCATCCATGAAGACTGTGACTGAAAATCCATGAGCTTGCAGACACTGTTGGGATCAGTAACGGAGTTTGCTATGAGATCTTAACACTTCGCAGACCGGCAATTTAAATATTTAATTCACACTGGGGACTGGCATTTTTAAACCTACTACCCAAATTTGTGCACTGTTCACTTTAAAAATTTATATAAAATTTCCTAATTAATTTTATGAACTAAAATTTTTGGAGAACACTTACCAATGCTCCTAGAAGTGCTTGAGAGTGTGATATTTCTGGAAACATTCCCCTTTGTGAAGTGGCATTACACAGAACTTGCAAATGTAGACAGTCATACTCTGTTTTTGTGAACTGTGCAAACACGGCATTGCCTACAAGGATGCTTCCCCTAGGAATGTTCACCCTTCACAATTTTCATGAGGGTATGTTTCCGCATATCAGCCGAGAGTCACCCACGGGGGTCCACATAAGGCCTGCATGAGGTGGAAGTTGATGGGCCTGGTCACACTAAGTCTGTGTCTGACTCTGGTTCTGCGCCATGATCTGGTCTGTAGCCCAGGCCTTTGCCACATTCATCAGAAATGCTTTGTATTTCAATTTTGAATCAGGGTTTAGATTTTTGTAAACCAAAAATGAATTGCAAATAGCACAGTTCATAAGCCACAAGGCAACTTTCTTTGTCCACTTTACTGTTTTCCTAGGAAGAGAATAATAGGCCAAGTATTGATTGGCTCTATCAACTCCCTTCATGAACATATACTCAGAAATACAAACAGGCTTCTTTACTTCTCCATGTCTCCTTTGAACATCAACCATGCTCAAATTGTGGACTGTGGAAATCATATTCATAACATGAGTATCCCTCCAGGACTGAAGAATAATATCCCCCTTCCTCCTGCATGTGGTTTCACCATGTTTCAGGGATTTAGATTTCAGATCTGGAGGAAGGCCTCTGCTCACCCTAATTGTTCCACAAACACGTACCTTTCTCAAAAGAAGATATTCTGCAGTTACCACACTGTTATAATAATTGTCTTGATAGACATGGTGATTTTCATCAAGATAGAGTTCCAAAACAGAAACAATAGTTTCTTGTAATTTTTTGCCTTCACCAGAATAAATTTCTAAATTTACAGTATAGCCTGAAGTGCTTTTAATAACTACACAAACAAGTAGGCCATACTTTGTAAGTTTCCCAGGATTATATGTTTGCATACGAAGCCTTCCCTTCCAAGGAATCACAGATTCATCCAAAGACGGTTGTTGGTTTGGCCCATAAACTGTCCGAAATTTCTGAACAACAAAGTTTAATAAGGGCTGAATTTTGAAAAGCCTCTTTGTTTGTGTTTGCAGTTCATTATTAATGAAATGCAAACACCACCAAATTTGTTCAAATCTCTTATGGCTCATTAGTTTGCCGAAAATGGAAATTTCTAAAAATGGATCTGTTGACCAATACTCTTTTAGATTATCCCTCCTTGTATGCCCCATTAGAAAAATTATTGTAAACAATTTTTTCATTTCTGCTGAAGTGACATCCACCCACTTCAACACCTTATAACTTCTGTTATACTCTTCACGGTGTTGGAGATAGTATCTGTTAGTTTCCTGACATAACAGGTCAAAGAAATTATCTCCAAAAACAGTTCTGCTATATCAGACACTTGTGTTGGGTCCGATGGAAATTGTTTCACCCCTGGATTTCCAGTAAACTGTCCCAAAGTAGGCATTTTGTCTACTTTTCCCCATGTTGCTGTCCCCACAATGTTACTACCCAGTCGGAGCTACTGTCACTTTTACTGTCTGGGGCCACAATTCTTTGTTGTCCCCTGTCACTGCCACTGTCTGACTCAATATCAGTACACATCTCATAAGGCACATCAGATAGCTCATCGGAGAACAAGTCAGATATTTCTTGTTCTCCGAGAGATCGCTTGGTTTTCAACCGCTTTCGTCCTTCATCCATATTGCACTATTAACTTACTGCCTGGTACATACAGCTTGAAGACGAACAAAGGCATTTTCCTTTGGAGTGGGACAGGAAAACAGCGAGGTCATGTTACTGACTACTAAGCAAACATTCGGGAGGTCTATTACACACCAGTTATGCATCTGCGTGGCGCCAGAGCAAGGTATAGTGTGTTGCAACATAACATGTCCTAAAATCATAATATTATGTGACCGGTCCGCCATGTTTAAAAGCAAGAAGCATAATATTATGTGAGCATTCCGCAAAGTGTTCATACAAAATCTGACCATATACCACACTGATCCTTCATCACGACGTCCCCACCCACACATCCCTGAAAACCACAGTTTGTGACTAACAACAACATGGTTAATGTTCCCCATCCTCCGTACTCACTAGACTTAGACCCCCCTGTGATTTGGTTTGTTTCCCAAATTGAAAATGAAACTGAAGGGATGACATTTTGAAACAGTATCTGATATCAAAAGGGAAGCACAAACAGTACTCAAGAGCATTAAGGGAAATGACTTCCCCAGTGCTTTTGAAGTATGGAAAAAGCGATGGGATCACTGCATATGTTCCCAAAAAGACTATTTTGAACAAGATAGCAGCCAAAATTGAGTAAGTTAAACCAGCATTTTTTTTACCTAGTCTGGGAACTTTCCAATACACCTCATACCTCCACTCCCCATATCTCTTCATGGAATAATGCTTAATTAATTAAACACAAGAACAATTTAACTTTATTAACCATATAACCACTACCTATGACAGAGCTGAGGTCATCATAGCGATGAAGGTGAACAGCATTATCTTCTACATGTGATGCCAAGTTTACCAACATTTTGGAGGAACATAATACTTCCATTTTGGGGGTTGAAGAGTAAGCCAAGCAAACAACATGCAAACAGGAAACAAATTTGTGCTGCTGTCCATTACTTACTTGGCTTACACTTCAACCCTGAGAACAGAGAGACAGCACATTCCTCCATAATGCCAGAAAACTTCTGACGAACTACATGATGCCACATCCCACAAGACAGCATTCCCCAATAATTATCTAGACAACATACAATTTATTTGCTCACTATATGCCATATTCTTCTAACAGAAATTAACTGTGAACACTCATCATTATGACACCACACTTGCTACTCATATCCACAGACATACAACTGATAACCTGCAAAATGTAATAATACTGACTCTTCCACATCTTAAGTAAATAAACTCAGTTCTTTCATATTGGCTGCCATGTCAACTGTGGCTAATCTCCTATTCAGGTGTCCCAGCATAATGAATGACAGAGCACCATCACTGCCCTGAATGGTGCCCACAGCAATCCCTTCTCCCATGCCATTCAGCAACAGACAGCATTACAAACTGCACATCATTACAATGATCGGTATCAAACTGTCCAGTACATAATGAACCAGATGGATGGTAGCCCAGTCCAGGATGCAACAGATATGATTCCCGACAATCCCCACAATCTTGCTGTATCGTGAACACAGTATTAGATCCCAGACAAGTAATATAACATTTAAAAATGAAAACAGGGTAGTTTGATTCTTGTTTCAGAAGTGGAGAAGAGAAAGGCATAGTTTTCTGCTTAAAGTTACCTTGATTAGATGATGATAATAATAATAATAATAATTTTATGTAACATTCATCACAGTTACAAATTGTAACTCTCAAAGAAGTCACATACATATAAAACTTTTCCAGTCTAATTGGACTCCTGCCCAATCGAATGAATGTCATCAAATATCACTATAACATAACATTCAATTACAATTAAAATCACACTCTTGGTATAATTAAAATATATTACATTCAATCAAATTTACAACTACCTTCCATTATAAAAAACTAGGTCATCTTACTATATATATCTTAATTACCACCGTCATATTCTTAAACTTAAAACTTATTATATCAAAATAATCCACAAAAGATAAAATTCAATTCAGCTAACGATTAAATACTTTGGAGCGCAATCTCTTTTAAGACTTCCATTCCCTTTTTAGGCTGAATCATATTAAAAACTTCACCTAATTACTAGTCATTTTATTTACACTTAAAATCTGTTTATCAAGGAGAATCTTATTCGTTTAACTGTCCTTCTGAGAGGAACTCGTGCAAATTATACAATGGGTGTTCCAGTAAATATCTTTTGAGTCTATGTAGGAATTCTCTATCTGCTTTTACCATTCTTAGTTCCAAAGGCAGTCTATTATAAAGCTTAATAGCCATATTTGTAACACCCTTCTCATATGTTAAGGTATTATAACTTTGCATGTGAAGGTCTTCTTTCTCTCTTTCTTTCTCGTGTCATACTTATGTAGGTTAGAGTTTTCTGTGGTGTAAATGTTATATTTCTTGAAATAACATAATGCCTCTAAAATATACAAAGATGTTACCGTTAAAATTTTTAATTCTCTAAATATAGGCCTACATGATGGACAGGACATCTAGCATGGCTAAAAGGGATACAAAATGCATACAAAATTATAGTTGGAATACCAGAAGGAAAGACCATCTGGGAGATCAATGCATATTTGGGAAGGTAATATTAAAAAGGGTCTTAAAAAAAGGTTGTGAGGGTGTGGACTGGATTCATCTGACTCAAGATAAGATCCCATAATAGATTTTTTGAAAGCAGTAATGAACCATCAGATTCCTTAAAAAGCAAACTTCTGTACTAGTTGGATTACTATTAACTTCCAATGGCTCCATTCCATGGAGTTAGTTCAGTTAGTTATTACTGTTACCTTATTCCTGTACTTCTGAGAGAGTGTACCACAACTCGCGGGGACCTAACTCACTGCCTACAGCAATTCTAGGACAGAGTGCTTGATGCTGGCAGATTTAGATTTCTTTCAAATGGCACTGAACACATAACCACACTGGACTGACTCTAACTGAAAGGGGCCATAATTCAGAGGCCACAGTGCATAAGAGACCTGAAGTAGCATCCTTTCCTGTTTACAACAATCAGCTGCATCATTAATACTGTGGCATGTAGAGCCATTGCTAGGCAACATCCGTGACACAAGCACTTACACAACAGCTGTTGCTAGGTAATGGCCATGCAACAGACACAAACACAATTCCACAGCAACAAGAGGATACAAGAATAATGGGAAGCGGTGTTTTCTGCGCGGTTTGTGCTGAGATGTTATAAGCAGGCCAACTTAGGAGATAGAGTCAGTTAGTCGGTGACAAGTTGGTTGGTGAATGTATGAGTTAGTGAGATAATTGCCGCAGCTCAGTTGTTGCAAGCTGTTGCTATGACACGCTGGTAGCTGAGGCTGGGGACAGTTCGGGAACCCAGAAGAAGGAGAATGTCCACTGTTGGAAACTGCTAAAAAGCAACATCATTGAAGACACACTCATGAGAAAGAGAAAGAGAGAGAGAGAGTGTGAGTGAGTGTGTGCATGCATGTGTATGTAACAGTGAGCTGTAAAGTGTAGTCACACTCTGTATCAAAGATTCGAATAAATCCAGTCATCAATCCAAAACTCATCTATAGTCACACTCCATATATGTGACAGCATTATGTAATCCCATAAGTGTTTTACCATAAACTAAGTACTTGCACTCCTCAACTTACTGCAACCTACCTTGTTAATGCTGTATGCACTCACCAGATGCAAGACATCCCATTTGTTCCAAGGCTGGTTTTCATGGTCGTAGCCATAGCGGGCCTCTTCCAAAGCATATCTCACAATCAGGCCATGCAAAGGAGTGTTTCCCAAAGAATCAGGTTCATTGATAAGCTCACGAAGGCCATGCTCCAGAAGTAGTTTGCATGTCTGAAGCGTATCCTCAGCAGATTTTCGGCCAATAAGGAATACTATATGCAGCACTGTCATCTGCTGAGTTGCAGTACGAACCTTAGTTTCTGCTCCACAGCTGTATTCACAATAAAATCACATAAATTCAAACTTTAAACCTAAACATATATCAGCATATTTTAGCAAAACGATCATCTTGTAAGAGACGCAGACCTGTGGCAAAACATGTAGCAAGTAAACGATCAATAAAGGATTAGTTAAAAAAAATACACATCAACATAACAGTACTGTCATGGGAGCAGGATATGGTAGACAGCAGTGTATGCAATGGAATATAAATACCATTTCTTCTAGAATGTTTGAGAGGTCACTCAGCTCACACACAAATTCAACAGAAATTTCACAAAGTTTGATGCACCTTTAAGAGTAGCTGTCAAATCCTTGCATGAGGGCAGCCCAGTTAAGTATAGTGCAGCAGAGAGCAGATAAGTGAGCAGTGAGTCAGTTTTCAGTTCAGTGCAGTGTAGGGAAGATAACAGAAAAAGTGAGTGCAGTGAGTAAACAGTGAGACAGCAATGAAGTAATGAGTGAACAGAGACCTGACCTCAAGAACATATGTGGTCATGGATGGTAGGACACTAATTCTTACATAAACTGATAACTGCTACAATATGTAATTATGCCTCACTGAATACAGTATAAGAAAACTCTAATTATGCACTTTTTCAATTTAAGAACACATTAATGAAAATTATCATCAAATTGGGAACATAAACTTTACTAAATGATGTACTCACCTTATCAAAAGATCAAGAAACTTAATGTTATGTAATGCCGCCTGGTGGATAGGATAGTATTCATCGTAACACTGATTAATTTCTTCAGACCTCTCAGACACCAGAAACTTCACACAATTCCATGCCCCACGTTCACAAGCAATATGCAACAAGGGTCGCTTCTGTTGCCATGGTAACCAGTGGACTTCTCCTTGTCGCATTAACAGTTCCAAGGTATCCACCTGAAAAGAATGTTTCCTTGTGTAATTGCCTAACCCTAAATATCTCAGCAAAAATTGCTCAAAATATCGGGTGAAACACAGAACTCTGAGGTTAACAGAAGACAATACAGAAAGGTTTCGTAAGACACGTGCATCTATATAGACTTGCATGTCATCATGTGATGGAATGACTAGAGACAGGGTTTCGATTAGTAATCAGATTTATTGGTCACTTTTACAACTGTGACTACACTTTACAGACCACTATCACACAAAGACTTGTATTCTCAGTCATGCTCTGCTTCATAGTGTCTTCCAGCAGTGGACTTTCCCACTGCTGCTGGGCTCACATCTTTCCAGGCTGGCGGCCATCTCATAACAATCTCCTACTCTTCTAACTGCCATCTCCGGGCTTTCTTGTAGTTGAAGCTGGTCCTCGTTATATAGCCCTGGTATGGACCGCACAGAAAATGTCTCTTCCATTACTGCATGTTCTCTTGTTACAGGGGAAACAACATGCCAATTGATGTGTTACCTAGCAACAGCTGTTGTTCTGTCACCTATTTACACAGCTGTTACTTAACAATGGGTCTACATGTCACAATATATTAATTCCAGAGATTTTTTAAAAAAAAGAGACAAAATTCCTGCACCCTGAATTCTAAATCAAATCAAGAAAAGATAATAAATATTATATTAATTCTCCAATATTCAATTAATTTCCAGACAGAAGTATAGTCAATAAATGTTAAAGCTGCAGTCATAGAAGTTTCAGATTTGCAGGAGATGAACATTTAAAGCAAGTACACACATTACAACAAAGCAAAAGCTGAACAGAAAAATAATATAAGTGGTTCAAATATGGTCCAGATATTTCATTGTTTCATTTAAACAATAACATGATGCAATATCGTTTTTGCAATCATGCCATATACCTTTCCTCCAAACATCAACCATACCTGAGCATATGTGCTTAGTCATTCTGCAAGATGGCATCAGTAGATGCTAGTAAGAAAGTGGAACAGCAACGTATAATCAAATTTTCAGTGAAAAGAAGGCTCAAAACTGACTGATATTCACCAAAGACTCAAGAGTACAGCTTGAGAATGATGCACTGTTGAAAACACAAAATGCACGAGTCACGTACTCATTCACACAAAGCCCTGACAAAGTAAGCAATCTCCTCAGCAACTGTAAACATCAGTCAAATCACATGCACTTTAACTAAGCTGACAAGTTTATTATGGACAATCACCAAGACTTGATAAACAAACTCTTACATGCAAACATCTTTGCTGGCAGTGAAGAGACAATCATTTATTTGCCCTTCACTTTTAAAAGTGAGCACAAGATAGGTTCCAAAATGCTGGGTCAAATATGAACCACCACTTACATACCAACTCTTTTTATGCAAAGTACAGAAACCTTCTGAGAAAGATTCTGGAGCTGTGGCACTGTTCACAATCTCCACAGCCACCCCCTCCTCATGCATGTCAACTTCATTAAATTTCTGTAGCATTAATGATGGAATGATGTATGTATGCACCTACCTGATCACCATCAATTGCATATAAAAGAGAACTCTGCAATTTATCACTCGACCTGTCAGCCATGGATTCATCTTGGACACAGTATTTGCCTCTCTCCTCACAGTTCTGGTTGTGAGGACCAGGCCAGCACATACGTGCCTCAACATCTATCTTTGCTCCATATTTCAACAGAATTTCCACACAATCATCATACCTATTTACCAACATTTAATCATATTAATCATATTATAGGAACCTTTAACTAAAAGGAACATCATGAGTTAGATCTGTGTTAGCCCTTCAGCGCGGTTTGCCGAATATGGCATGCTGGTATTTAAATGATCCTACCTGCGGTTTGCCGTACACCATACGCCAAGCTGTAAGCTTAATTTTAAAGGTCCATAAATATCGACGAAACACGCCAGCATGACGATGATTGCACTGGGCTGTTGTGAAAAGAATATGCTCTCTGTTCGTGTAACCATAAGATTCAAGATCCTGCAGCACTGCCAGTCAGTCTAAATAGAATGCGTGACCTCACAGTTACGATGGCCAAGTGACTATCATATCAACATCCCACAAAGGTGATATGGTGTGGTTGTGAATAAAGCAAACAAACAAGAAAAAATGCCCGTGGTTGTTTGTGATTACAACAAAAACATGCTAGGAGTGGATCTGAAGGATCAAATGCTACAGCCGTACTTGGTTGAACGAAAGAAGAGTTCTAAGTGGTATCAGAAGTTATTCAAGAGCCTACTCAATGTAGCAATACATAACGCAATGGTCATATACTGTTGTCTCCCGAATAACAAAAACATGAACACACTAGAGTTCATACTTTCACTAGCGCAAGGCTTCATGGAAAAACATGGTTCTGGTTTTCCTCATCCTGTATATGGCCGTCCGTCACTGAGCCGCCACCTAAAAGACTCACAGAACGACATTTCCTGGAGCGTATTCCAGCCAAAGGAAAAAGGCAAAGCCTCAAAAAAGATGTGTGGTGTTCACAAAACATGGTAAAAGGTACGAATCTATTTACTGGTGTAGTGAATGTGAGGCAGGGTTGTGTTTACATGGATGTTTCAAGAAATACTACATGAAACTCAAATTCTAATCCACTTGCTTCCATCGCTCAGATACAGGGCACTCATATTATAAGGTAAGATTATAAAACCATCTTTTAAGATGATTTCAGTCAAAAATTCATAATTGTATCTCATATAGTTCAAAAGATATGATACATAATATAATTTAGAGCAAAATTTAAATGGGCAATTAAAAAATACTACCACAGGAGGCCCCACAACAGCGATATTTAAATGCCCGCACTGAAGGGTTAACTAACTCCATGGAACAGAGACTTTCTTGAGAAGCTAATGGCTGTTAAGGTAGCCAAAAAATTTCCCACCTTTAATGGAACCTGAAGGATTATTATCATGCTCACAAGATTCCATAATATGTTGCTGCCCTGTGACACAAATATCCAGTACACATCCTTCAATCCTATTTCATTAAGAACCATTTTGATATTAAACTTGCATCCATGTCTACATCATCCGCGTTATCCTTTTTCTTCCAAGTTTTCATACCAGGATATTTGCATGCATTTCTTGAGCCCCCATGCTACATTCCCTGCACAATCTCATCCTCCATGAGTTGCAATCGTAATAATAGTTGCAGAAGTGTACAAATTATGGAGATCCTTATTATGTAGCTTTCTTCAGCCTCCCATCACTTCTTCCCTCTTAGGTTTAAATATTTTCCTAAGCATCCTGTTCCAAAACCCCTTAATCTACATTCTTCCCTTTAACATGACAGACCAGGTTTCACACCTATACTAAACAAAACAAAAAAATTTGTGTTGCAATCCTTACAATTTTAGACAGAAGACAAGATTGTCCACCAGTGCACAAAGAAAATGTATTAAACCTTTCCAGTCCAGAGATTAATTTGACATAACATTTTCTTTTACTCAATCCAATGCTGGAGACAGCCACAACATTCAGTTTTGTTACAGCATTTGCTCTAATATGGACATCTGCCATATGCAGGGTCTCACACAAATTGTATGGACTTTATTAATGAAAATCACACTTATTATTGTGAATCTACAAGCTCTACTGACAGAAATAATTTCATATCAAACCACTACCTACTGACAATTTTTTTAAAAGATTCTTTGTAATAGTAAGTTGGACTGGACCACTATAACACACCAAAAAAGTGTGAACTGGTAAGGGTTCAGGAAAATATGCTTATGCCACACAAAGATATTCCAGTTCCAATACATCAGGTTTATGATACTGTACACAACAATTAGAACTTTTCATCCATACACTTCATGTTACTTTTCATCAGAGTCCGCACAAATAATTTCCGGACTGTTCATATTCGTAAAAGAAAAATCGTGTTTGTGGTGAATGCCTCCACTGATCCTGCTGATATTTTAGCCTTTGCCCATCAGTGACAAGGCTAATGACAGTGTTGTACTGGCCCACCAGAAAATCTGCTTAACATGGGTACAGAATTATATAAGGACTCAATATTCATTTCAAGTCCAAAGTCTGAACTTAAGGAAAGATTATGTTTTTCATCTGTACATAGAAAAGTTAGCAACCCAGACATGTTTGAGACCATACCTGAGAATAAGTGAACAGCCTATATAAAAGGGAGAACAATCTTAGTCAAAGTATGGGTAAAGTTAGAAGAGGGAAAACTAAGAATGCCAATAACAGTTCCATATCTGAAAAAGTGAATCACTCTGATTCTGACACAAGTGATGCTGAATGAAGATTATAATCTTCTGGGATGTGATGCTGTGTAGTTTGGCATTCAGGTACTGCTGAATGTTCCAAATAATCAACATCCATCAACATGAGTGGGACGGAGTAGCCCGTTCGATCACAATTCAAGAGAGGATGTGATGGCACAAAGAAAATTTCCAAAAATTAAATTAAAAACAAATAAAATATTGTTGCAGTAAAGACAACTGAACTTCTGGCTTATCAGAATTCAAATTCACATCTCTGAGACAACAATTTATCGAAAAATATATTTCTTCTGTTTTTCAGTGATGAAATATTTGAATTGAAACAGAACTAATATAAATGCTAAACAACAAATAAATATAACAGATAAGGTTCTTGAACTATCAGAAGTAATAGTTTGAAGTTAACTGTATTGTTAACTGTAAAACGTAAGTGAAGTGATAAAAGTCTCTGTTTCATGCATACAGATTTCTAGCGTATTTGTATTACAACAGAAGTATGAAGATTTACACTAAAAAAAACTAAAAGTAAGCATGGTACTTCAATTTCTAAACACTGGTTTATATATTCTGTATATATCTAGGACATAGAAGTCCACATATAAAAATTTCATGTTTATGTATGAGAAACTGATAAAAATAATATTTTTATTCTGGAATTTAAATACAGCTGCTGCTCTTCAACTCTCCAACACATGGTGTTGGCAAGTTTAAATAACCCTCTGTACTCATAGTGTTAAAATTAAAATAGAACATGTTAATTTTTTTAACATTAACACAAATTATTAACTCACCCTTTGAGGCTTGCAATATGTAGTGGTAAAGAGCATGCACCTCTGTTCACATCTGGATTACGGGACAGGATCCACCGAACCATCTCCACATTGTTAATTCCCACACATTTCTGGAGTAGGTTATAGCCTTCTTCATTATGGACTAACAGGATGTTTTCATTCTGCAGAAATAAAGCTGTGACATTACTGTTGTAACGATTATATATATAATTATTTCTCTAGGTAGTATGTTTTGCCTTGGTATGAGGCAATGCATGTTGTATACTGAAATCGCTGTGCACCACAAAGGTCAAATATGGAACAGCCACAAGACATATGTATACACATCTAATTAACAGCTCAAACTGGTGACCAATCAAGAACATCATGCCATGGTACCTGTAAGTTTCACCAGAAAAAGAGAGAAACTTCACACACAGAAACATTTACTGTGTTACATTTTTTCAAGCAGCTGTGATTTTTCAGTCAACATAAAAAGGCTGAAGAGATGTGTATATTAATTTTTGTCTTGACAAGCTGTATACGTGTAAACATTTGAGGAAACATTCATACACCAAACTACACAGTGTCATAAGCTACACAATGACTACAATTAGGCTAAATTGTCTTCTTCATGGCCAGGTCTGGTCAAGTGGGATTTGTGGTGGACAAAGTGGCGCTGGGGCAGGTTTTCTCCGAGTACTTCAGTTTCCCCTGTCAATCTTCATTCCACCAAATGCTCCACAATCACCCTCACCTATCATCTGGGTCTGGTACAATAGGCCAGAAGTGGCTGCAGTAAAAGGGACTTAGTCCCACCCCACTAGCAATAAAAAAAATACATGGACTTTACTATACGTTTAGTTAAAACACATTTTAAACAGCCTAACTAGTTTCATGGGTACCCCCAAATCTATCAGAATATTGTACAATACATCCCTCCTAACTGAATCATAGGTTTTCTTGAAGTCTACAGAGTCTCACTTACTCCCATTTTTTTTTTCAATATCTGACAAATGCAAAAGATCTGATTTGTAGTTTATCTGTTATGTCGAAAGCCACACTGATGATCCCCAATAATTTCATCTATATATGGACTTAACCTTGAGAGAAGAATATTGGATAAAATTTTGTATCAAGTTTATAGCAGTGATATCCCCCAATAATTACGAGTACTACAGTTGGTTTTATCACCTTATTTGTGAAATGGTACAATAATAGACTCCTTCCACTGATCAGGCAATTTTTCCTTATGCCAAATAGAAGTAATTAGCTTATGGATCTTAGAAATTTCGCTTAGTGGGGGGTGGCGTCCAACTGGGTCCACTCGGCACAGCAGCCACTGATGCAAAATGTTGTGGGAATCTGCAAGATCATTCTCATCTTTCACTAAGTTACTTCTAGGTTGGTAACCCCTTTTAAAGTCATTTATTCCTCTATACAGGTCCCTAATGTCTTGTTCTTACTGTTCATTGCAAGCTCATCAATTTTGTCTTTCAGATATTCCTTCTTTTTATTCCTGAAATACCTGCTGGTTTCACGTCTTATATTGTTCAGATTAACCCCACTCATTTTGCTTGGAACCTGTAACCACTGCAATTTGGCTTGTTCTCTTTGGTCTAATGATTTTGGGTATCCTTCATTGAACCATGGTTTATGCTTCTTCAGTTCATACTTGACTCTCTTTAGCAGAAATTTTTATATTCTCTCTAATAGTGTCCCAAGATTTCCACCTTAGTGTCTAAGTTTTCCAAAGCCATGAACCTATTCGAGATTTCAACATGATACTGCTGTTTACCCTCTACCTTGTTTAATTTCTTAAGATCAAACCTCTCCATATAAACTCTATGTGTTGTTTGCCAGTCTTTCGTTAACCTTTGCCACCGCCAGGTAGTGGCCAGTATCACAAACTGCTGTCCTGAAGGATCGGACATGAAGTATACTTGAATGCTATCTCCTATCTATCAAAATATGGTCAATTTGATTGTGCATCTTCCTATCAGATGTCCAAGTAAATTTATGGATGTTACAAGGTGGGAATATTTTACTTTTGGCAGTAAGATTTTTTTATGTGGCAAAGTTTACTACTCTAACTCCATTATCATTACTAATTTCATGCAAACTCTCATTCCCAATTGTTGGTTTGAAAATGTCTTCCCTACCTACTTTGGCATTGAAATCTCCTAACAAACTGTTCATATGGTACTTCGGGAATTTATCAAATACAAGTTCTAGTTCTTCGTGGAACCTGTTGTTTATATGATCAATTTAGGCTACAAAAAATAAAAAGGTTTTCATAAATTATGGTACAACACTTCTTACATGACTTACTTTCGGTATCTGTGACAGCAAACCTTCCAGCCTCTGAACAGTAACTCTAGGATTGGCCCGGAGAGCATCAAATATGATGCGCACTTTACTGCGGGTGTGTTCTGAGACACCACGATGATTACCAGCTGAGAGAAGTGCACTTCCTGATTGGAAGAAATTACTCAGCGCTCCACCCATGTTGACAGAGTGGCACACTTTCCCTCCTAGGGACTACAGAGCCACATGGTGCCTGGTATTTCTACCTGTGGGTTCACAATACCTGTTAATTTAAAATGCAATATATTACAATAAATCTGCCTCAGCGCCTATTATATCATATCAAACTGCTTCCTAACCTCCCAAATTGAAGTTCACACAATAATACATGATATCAATGAAATAAAAGTTGAGAAGTTAAGAGTTCGTGAGTCCAAAAAAAATATTAATTCCACACACAATAACACAAATTAATCTTCAGATCAGTAAAATAATATGTATTAATCTCTGAAAAAAATGCTGACCACACTCTAAAGCAGGAGTGGGTAATGATTATTTACTTGGGGGCTGAATGGCTATATTCTGAAGTGGCACCAGGTTAGACAGCCTTGCGATAAAACTCCTATACGTTTGATACCAGTTATTCACAGTGACTGAAGGACTATATTAGTAATTAGGACACAATATTCTAAACTCCGAATGGCTCATTTTAAGATTGACTAAATCGAACCTAGAGTGGGCCCCATGAAAATTACTCATACCCAGTTGCAGGAAAAATAAATGAAGTCGCCATACTAAGCCATTGACCGTAGTTTGTCTTCCATGCTCTGTGCATTAATGCTGTTTACAATACTGCCTGCTGATTAACTGGCTGACTACTTTGACTGTTCATATATCGTGCGCTCACTTTCTTCTCTTCCTTGAAGTCAGCGAAAAAATCTGAATGTCGGTCTGCAGTGGAAAAAGGCCAGACTATTTTCAGCATCCATACGCATTCTTCCACCTGAAATTACACCCTACGAAATTTTGCAATAGCAGCTCATGGCATCATAACACACAATATTTATTCGAAATTTTCTTTTTGCTTCATTAAAATATCTTGGGTTCATTTAACACTTCAAGTTGTGTCACTTTCATCTCATCTCTTGATGAAAATCAGGAAGTGAAGGCTCAAGCCTCTTCCAACTTCATAGCCATCTTCTAAATATGTAAGATTTGATGCTTTTAAATAGTTTTCCTACATATCTGTACCCTTCAATATAATATATCATACTGGCAAACACAGCAGAAGTGAAAATTATTCACATAGAAGCATCAATGTATGTAAGTAAAGGGGACAGAAATGGGCCCTCCTCCCAGCGAAATGAAAGAGGCATAAGGAAAAAAACCTTATAATCATGAAGTTCATTCAAATTAACTTACACCACATCAAAGCAGATATGGCAGTCCTATGCCAGCAGCTCGCTGAGGTAATGGCAGATATGGTGGCCCCTTATTCAGGAACCTCGGATTTACGGAGGCAAAATAGCTGGTATAAGTAACTGAGGGGAATCAATTTTTCTGTTGCACCCAATGGCAATGCAAGATCCTGTATTTATATCAGGAACCATACTAATGCTCTACCTTTGTTGGACCTGCTCTAGGAGACACAACAATGATGAGATGACATACAAAAGTGGAAAAAGCTGTGAGGAGCTTATCATCACCTCAGCATACCTTCCATGTGAGGAATGTCATCAACTATTGCTGCAGCAGGAAAGAGCAACTCATCACTGGGTGTGATGCCAATGCACACCACATATTATGGTGGAGCACTGGCACCAGTCCCAGAAGGGAAAGCTTCATAGAGTATCTGGTGTTTCTGAACCTGGATGTTCTTAATCAAGGTAACAAGCCTGCCTTTATAGTTTGCAACAGGAAGTTTACTGACTTAACACTAGCAAGCAATAAAATAACGAACCTGGTAACAGGCATATATCTGATGAGCCATCTTTTCAGACCGGTTATACGAGGGTGGTACTGAAAGTCATGAGCAACAATTTTTTGTAAAGTAACATGCTTTATTATTGACAAACCAAATACACCATCTCAATCTGCAGACCTTCCTTTATTTTTCCACATAATCATCACTTCTTTCTACACATTTCTCCCAGCATTCTGGGAGTTTGAAAATTCCCCTCCTGTAAAATTCTGTTCCAGCCATCCGAAGACACGGACGCACTGCTTTCTGAATTGCCTCCCTTGTCTCAAAACATTGTCCACACAGCTAATCCTTGTCTGTGGTTGAAACATACACTGACTAGTATCGACATTAATAACTGCACTACATTTTGTAACCGTACGCATCCTTCACGGAAAGTTTTATTTGTTTGTAAGTAACGGTTAAGTTTAGCTGTAGAAATGAGATGCCCCGGAGGGATCATGGTCCTCTGAACTGGCCTTTTGTTGCGAGGGACAGAAGGGAGGTTGGTGAGTCCATTGCATTCAAGGGGGAGTAGGTATACCTTCTTTCGTCCGTGCCTGTGGGGGTGGAGGACCTGTGGATCGAAGCTTCGAAAACGTTCGAGAAGGTGTGCAGACCGGAAGGGGTCCGTGTATTTGGTCATGAAAACCTCCCAGTGGAAAGTTCGAGATGGCTAAGAACGTCGTTTATGGAAGCAGCAGCGGGGGTAAGGAGTCAGTTAGTGAGTAGAAGCCGGGGAGTGAGGGAGTAGAAGCCAGGGAGTGAGGGTGTTCATGTGGAACCTGTGCTAGGGGGTTAACCGATCGAGCCCGCATCCAAAAAACGACGTAAGCGAGCCAACACCCATGTACCCCTGGGATATAAGACTCATTCCGCTGAATTTAGTCGAGGCATACACTGCGTGGAAGTAAAGTGTGTGGGGACGGGTGTAATTTATAACTAGAATGTTGTTCATTATTCTCCTAAATGACAAAACCTGCATTCCGCTTAAGTAGCTTAAGAATGATTTATTTTGTATATATACATTCTGTGATGACATATGGAATTATCTTCTGGGGCAATTCTTCATACATGACAAAACTTTTTATGATCAAAAAGAAAGTTATAAGGATTATGATGGGATTAAAGAAAAGAGATTCATGTAGAGACTCTTTCAAGGAAATGAAAATTCTGCCTTTGTGTTCTCAATACATATATTCCTTGATGCAACACACTATAAATAACATACATTTGTTTACAAGAAATATGGAGGTACATAATATAGGTACCAGACAGAAGGTTAACTTATTTCCACTGAGTACTTCACTTACTAAAGTTCAGAAGGATGCATATTATTCTGGTATAAAAATCTACAATCATCTGCCTAAAGAGCTGAAACAATTATCTAATAACCAGAAATCCTTTCAACGTTCCCTAAAAAGATTTTTACATGCTCTTTTTATGCATTAAATGAGTATTTTAATCACAAATGTACATAAATTTGAATGTATTAATGCCATATTTTAATATAGTTGGTATGGAAGATGTGAGGGGTTGCATTGTGGTTACTTGTGAATTATGTCTGTTAATCAGGATATTATCTTTTTGCCTCATATTGTTGTATGTGTTAGATAGTTAATGTGGGTGATCTTCATTCTGTGGCTTGTGTGACTTTGTGTATGTGTTTGGTGACTATTTCCACATCCTGGGTCTGTTGCCTGTATGGATGTTTATGGAAAGAAGGAAAGATAGGTGGTCATAAGTGTAAATTTGTAATGCATTTAATTCAGTTAATTGGGGTAATTTCAGTGGAACTGTATTAATTTTAAGTTTTTATAGTAATGTTCTTTTTAAATTATGTTTATTAATTATAACGGTAATAAGTTTTTTTGTCCTAATCTGTATGTTGGTTGACTAGTGTGTGTGATTTTGGTTGTGTGACTTATGTAATTTATTATATGTATACATCTATTATCAAAGGGACTATTTCCACATCCTAGGATTTTTGCCTGTATGGATATATGGAAAATAAAGGGAATGAATGAATACATACATACATACATAACCTTTATTTTCCATGTATATCCGTACAGGTATCAGACCTGGGATGTGGAAATAGTCATATCAGATACATACACAGCCACATAAATTACATAATGAAGATCACCTACATTAATTAATTAACATATACAATAATATGAAGTAAAAAGATAATATCTTGATTAACAGACATAATTTAAAAGTAACTACAATATAACTTGAATTAATATAACTTTTCACATCTCCTATACTAACTATATTAAAATACGGCATTAAAACATTAAAATTTATGTACATTTGTAATTAAAATACTCATTTAATGCATAAAAAGAGTTAGCATGTAAAAATCTTTTTAGGGACAGTCAAAGGATTTCTGGTTATTGGATAATTGTTTCAGCTCTTTGGGCAGATGATTGTAGATTTTTATACCCGAATAATAAGCACCCTTCTGAACTTTAGTAAGCGAAGTACTCGGTGGAAATAAGTTAACATTCTGTCTGGTACCAATATTATGTACCTCCGTATTTCTTGTAAACAAATGTATGTTATTTATAGTGTGTTGCATCAAGGAATATATGTATTGAGAACACAAAGGCAGAATTTTCATTTCCTTGAAAGAGTCTCTACATGAATCTCTTTTCTTTAATCCCATCATAATCCTTATAACTTTCTTTTGGATCATAAAAACTTTTGTCATGTATAAAGAATGCCCCAGAAGATAATTCCATATGTCATCACAGAATGTATATAAGCAAAATAAATCATTCTTAAGCTATTTAATGATATCATAGGCTTAACTGTTCTCATAATAAAGCAAGACAAACTCAATTTAGTAACAAGGTAATCAATATGATTCTTCCAACACAGCCTATTATTAATAATTAGGCCTAAAAAATTTGATACACTCTAAGTTAGTCAGTAAATTTTGATCAGTATTATTATGCATATTATGATCCTCATAGTTCATTAAAGTGAACTGGAGAGCGTGGGTTTTATGAATATTTAATTTTAACAGATTGGTTCTGAACCATGTATTAATATTGCAAAATATTCTGGTCATGGTTGATCTGTAGTCAGCGTATTCCGGATTAGTCACTATTATACTTGTATCGTCTGCATACAAGAATATGTTTGTTCCATTAATTGAAACCTTTGTTATATCATTTATATACAAGAGGAAAATAAGTGGGCCAAGAATTGAACCTTGGGGTACACCAAATTTTACTTCTGCCCAACTAGATGAGCTATTAATAGAACTGTTAGGGCCAAGGGTTACTCTCTGATATCTTCCATTCAGGTAAGATTTAATTAAGGCACCAAACTTGCCAATTATTCCATAAAGTTCTAATTTTTTTATAAGTATATCATAATTGACACAATCAAAGGCTTTGTGTAAGTCGCAAAATATTCCTCCAACAAACTGTTTATTATTCATTGCTTTTAGTATTTCCTCTACTAATTTGAAGGATGGTTTTTCTGTAGACGAATTAGGTCTAAAACCATATTGATTATTGTCCAATATATGATTACTGTCTATAGTTCATACAATTTATTATATATAACCCTTTCAAAAACCTTAGAAAAGGCTGACAATAATGAAATAGGCATATAGTTGGCTGGTTCACATTTATTACCACTTTTGAAAATTGGCTTAACCACAGCAAATTTCAATCTGTCTGGAAACGTTCCCTGGGCAAGGGATCGATTACAAATGTAAGTCAGTGGCGAATTTATACGACATACTTGCTTTTAAAATTCTTGTAGAAATTTCATCGTAACCATGTGAAGACTTAGTCTTCAAAGATTTGATTATCTTTCTAATCTCAGTAGTTGAGACATAATGCCATTTGATAGATTTAAAAGTAGATGTGTATCTGTTGCCTGGATAATATAATGGATTGCTATCGACAGGAGTTTTGTTATTGCTTAAATCATCTATAATTGTATGAGTTACCGAGATAAAAGTATTCGTTAAATACATCTGCAATGCATTTTTTATTCTGTATCATAATATTACTGACTTTCAACGATTGGGGTTCATCCTTCTGAGTTTTAGATCAAAGTTTCTTTTTTAATAATTGACCATGAACAGTATCACTTATGGCTGCACTCAATCATATCAGAGTTCTAATGTGTATATTAAAATGTGATATTTAATGTCTAAAAATGGCTGAAATTGATATACAGCAATTTCTAGCATAATCTCAACAAGAGTCACCAGAGATGTGTATGTCTACATCAATATTGAAATATCATAAAAACTATTAATTTACAGTGGTTTGGTGGTATAGCACAATCAACATGCAACTAAAATTGATGTTTATGGTTTAAATCCAAAAATGAAAAATGCAGTGGCACACTTAAAGCATTAAGATGCTCTGAAAAACATGAGAAATGAGATGGTACAGAACAGTGATGATTATGAAATATCCATAGAACATGTATGCTATCAGTTCACTTTAGGTAATGTGGAATAATAGAGACATTACTTCTTGTAATGGGAATAGTGAATATATTTTACGTATTGTAATTACATCCAGAGTACTCAACGAAAATGCGGCGACCATGATCATTTTAAAATTGCACCATACCTTTCACCACATACTTGCCTGAAATTCGCCAAATCCTGCACTTGGTGCAGTCTCTTCAGCAAAATAAAAATCGGTATCTTCTGCACGATTGCCTCCTTCTGCTGCAGTCTGAGCATGCATTGTCCCTCACTTTTGTTGTCAAGTCCAACACAACGGTGTATGATTTAGAACTTGTAAATCCCGGCGATGTAATTCATGTGCTGAAAATAAATTTAATGTCTCCATCCAACGTTTGAAATCTCTCGGTCACATATAGTCCTCTCATCTAAAGTTTAACTACATTGCACTTAACAAATGTTCTTATACCTACTTTCAGAAATGTTGTATCGTTAACTGCTTTGGGCCTGGGCTCGAATACAAAATTCTCAGTGGGGGATAATATGCACTCAAAATGAACACTTCAATTTAAAGTACACCCCATTTTAAACCATGAAGCGTTACAAACTACCACATAACCAATTTCCTTTATTTACCATGAATAAGCTTCTCTGAGCACCGTGAACCTAATCCAACACTTTACAACTGCCACTACTCCCCCATTTTCTACTTCTCCGTCGAACCTGCAAGTTGGCATAAACATAATAGAGGCAGCACCATACTCTTCGTGAAGCAGACGACAGAATATTACTTGATAATAAATTACTATTAATTCAATTTCAAACTAGTTTAAAACCAAAGCAACGCATATTTTCACATTTCGGCACACTTTATGTTCCTATATCATTTTATAAAACGGATGAATGTTTAATTATCTATTTTATCACCATCTAGTGTAAAGGTTATAAACTAATGAAATTCCTAATCAGCGCTATTTACAAATGCCCAAAGCCGACGACAAATCATGGCCATGACATTACAAGTGGGTTACGAACATTAACGATTTTGTGACAAACAAAAAAGACCTCAGTTCTCCGTTATAAATAAAACTTACGTCACAAGTTTTTTTCCGTCATATAAAATCATCACTCCCAAATCAAAGCTATCATCAACAATTAAATCTATGCGAGAATGATGGTCTTCATAGCAGTGATTATGAAGAGTGCTATATTCTAAGTTGCTACGTCATGTTGTCAGACAGATGTATACTGACGTTTCGGAATAATCTACTACTTTCATCTTCATGGTCATGGTGTGAAGCAAGTAGCAAGCAGACATATGCTGCTTGCTGGGCACATTCTTTGACCCTGATGATGGAGGACCAGTACCGGTAGGATATAGAGACTGGTAGAAATCATAGAGGGAAGCACAATGGACCAATACAGGTCTCAGTGCATGGGGAAACCCACCCTCTCCAATAACTAACTAACTAACTAACTAGGTATCATTTTAATACCTCTATTAGGGTTTTACTCAAGTCTTTGATAATTACTACATTTAAAACTACATTTAAAAATAAATATTTAGGACTGTACATGTGCTTCTACTATTGGCATGTGTGCGCACTTCCACCAGCAGGGTTTTAAATGCCTGACTGGCCAAATCGGGGTACTTTGGCCATGCGACCATACTCAACACTGGCCCGATCGGGCACTTTAGACGTAGGTTAAATAGAATTAATGATTCCATAATATTTATAGAATTTGGTGGCAAATATTGTTTATCGTGCCCATTAATTTAATTTGAAAATGTGGTTTTGAGAGAAACTAAATCAAACATATTAAATGAACGTATGTGGAATAATCAGTTACCTAGATGCCTCTGGTTGAGCATACATTTATGTAATTTTACATGCTCAAAAAATAAATGTAAGAACCGAAAATAGTTTTCCATTCTGTTGTCAAAGTCGCTAAAATAATGTATAGGCATATGATTAGAAGAGAAAACATCAATATCCTCATAAACAACTTCAAGGATCCCCTTAACCTGTTTTGGCTGTGCTTCAATGTGGCCTTCCAGTGCTTTTGTTTCCAATGGAAAAATAACGTTGAAATCTTTCCAGTATTCAGCAGTTAACAGTCTTCTGCAAATGTCATTCCCTATTTTCTCTACGTTCATATACAGTGGATGCTTCAGGAGAAGCAGATTAATTGATAATAACAGATGAAACAAGAATGTAATCGAAGAAAGCAGTCTTCTGGGATTTGGCACCGTGTATATGTGGTGTTAACCGACGTTTCGGAGGAACGTATCGCCTCCATCTTCAGGGGGCAAGAAAAAATATAAGAAATCTGCAATACGTTCCTCCGAAACGTCGGTTAACACCACATATACACGGTGCCAAATCCCAGAAGACTGCTTTCTTCNGCTGGATGCGTCTGTGGCTGCCAGATAGCGAAGTGGTGTAACACGTGTTCGTCACATTCTCGTTTCGCTCAAGATGACAGAATGCTTGGAGCAGCGATACTGCATGAAGTTTTGTCAGAAACTTGGGGATAGCCAAGTGGAAACAATTCGCAAAATTCAGCAGGCTTTCAGCGATGATGCAATGGGGGCCACTCAAATTAAAGAGTGGTTCAACCACTTTAAACATGGTCGTATGTTGGCGGACAGTGAGCAGTGTTCTGGGAGATCATCAATGAGCCGAAATGCTGATGTCATTGAAAAAGTGTGGACACTGATCATGGAGGACTGTCCTTTGGCCATGCATGAAGTTGCTGATGAGGTTGGGATCACCAGAGGTTATGCAAACACAATTTTAACTGAGGATATGGGCATGTGAAGAGTGGCGGCAAAATTTGTGCCCAAGCTGCTTTCACTGGAGCAGCAATAACTCTGTCTTGAGGTCACACAGGACATGCTGGAGTGCACCAACAGGGATCCTGAGTTCCTGAAGACTGTGATCACTGGTGACGAGTCATGGGTATACGGATATGACCTGGAAACCAAGGTCCAGGCATCACAATGGAAGCATCCAACATCCCTGAGGCCCAAAAGAGCGCGACAGGTTCAGAGCAATGTGAAGGTGATAGTGACTGTCTTTTTTTTTCGATTACCAGGGTGTTGTGCATCATGAGTACGCACCACTAGGCCAGACTCTCAATAAGGAGTACTACCAAGAAGGCCTCCGCCATCTTTGTGATGCAGTTCAGCGCAAGAGACCAGAGCTGTGGGACACACGCAACTGGCAGCTGCATCATGACAATGCTCCAGCTCATTCATCACACCTGATTCAGGGTTTCCTGGCCAAGCACAGTATTCCGCAGGTTCGCCAGGCTCCCTACTCTCCTGACATGGCTCCTTGTGATTTCTGGCTGTTCCCGAGATTGAAGACACCGCTAAAAAGGATGCCGTTTTGACAGCCGTGAGGACATCATACAGAACGCGACGGTGCAGCTGCACGCCATTCCAAAAGAAGCCTTTCAGAATTGCTTCCAGCAATGGAAGGACCACTGGGCTAAGTGTGTGGAGTTACAAGGGGCCTACTTTGAAGGTGATTAGGTATTGTAACCACCCAGATACAGAACTTTTTTTTCCTGGCCCAAGGTCAGATACTTTTTGGACAGAGTAGTAAAACTGATACTGTCATAATATTTCTGGAAATCCATACACACCATTAAAAACTAATAAAGAAAACATTAGAACCAAGAATTAAAAAAAATTATTTTAAAGTTCACTGTCTATTGTATATTCCGAGGTCAATAACAAAACGTTCATGTTCATATAAGAGCTCAAGAAGAAATGAGGATCTTACATAATCACATCCATTGCACATGCATCAAGGCCACAATAAGGCAAATAAAAAGTGACAACAAAAACCAAAGTTCTGATTACATTACTTGTCATTTCCTCTGTGTATTGTTATAGGTATGTCTGGACTTAATAAAAGTGATAGCATTATCCTTGATTACAATACATGATGTCCATCATTGTATGAGTACTTTGTTAATGGATGTGAGATTCTGACATTGGTGACTATGAAGAGTATATCTTCTGGGTTGTAATGCTGTGTAATTCAGCAAAAGTCCACCAGTGTTTCAAAGAACTTGCTGCCTGTTTATTGCTGGTATCCTGCTTGGCCTGTTGTTTGGTCTTGAACATGGAAGTGATACGTTCCTCAAAATGTTGCTGGAATTTTACCAAATTCCATGGCTTTACAACCATGAATATTGTACTTTTCATCTACTCTGTTATTTAATAACATAGTATTTTTAAAATTCAGTTAAAAATATCTATGGTACAGGCATGCCATGTTTAAACACAGCTCCAACATGTTCATCCAAAAGTTAATGTTATAATTTTTACAGATAAACAGGTAGTCAAGTGCTATACACTCTTGTCAGAACCTTTCAGAATCAGTAGCTTTTGTACATTGTTGCAAAGTCAGAAAAGAGTTACTGAAATATTTTGATCTTTAAAATGAAGAATATGTACCAAGAAGTAATGAAAATGATATTAAAAAGTTACAAATTATAAGCAAACATGACAGTCAACATTGAAACAGCAAAATTAAGGCCATTCAATGCAGGATGGAATTTAACAAACCATTTGCACTGGAATTTTACAGTAATGTAACTGAAAATTTTATAACATTAGGGGAAGATTACCACATACAGCATCTGACAGCAGTGATGGATAGCAAGCCCAGAAGATACAGGTGACTCATCTGAAGGATTTTAAGGGATCAGAGGCATTAAAGTTATACAAAACTTACCATGAGTGAATATATATAAGAAATAGCTTTAGTCAAATAGAAGACCTTCAGTAGCACTGTTTGCCTAAGAAGACTAAAATCATTTAAATTTATGAGTTTTAAGAGCCATTTTATCAGCGTTTACTGATTTTAAATACTTGGAACATGCATTACTTTAAAATTGTGGCTTGGAATATTGAAGGAAAATAATACTACCTACTGTAGGTCAAAATGTGGAAGAGTCATAAACCCTCCTAAAAGGGTGAACAAATCAACTGCATTAAAATTGTAAACATGACAGTAATAACGACATTAACAGCTACATTTTTATATATGAATTATAGCCATAATTAAAACATATGAGAAGACTTAAAAAGTATTGTAGAGAAGTACTAATGACTAGCAACATGAACTCAATATTCTGGAAATCAAATTGACGTGTGTAGGTTAACAAAGATTTTATACATACATACAATTGGAAAGACAGGTGTTTTAAATTTTAAACTACGGGCAGTGTAGCAGTTACGTAAGAATATACACCTGATGATGGCCATTTAGGGCCGAAACATGTAGTGTAGAGGAAGGAAAGAAGAAAGAACTACAATTAAATTGTTGCACTTAAGACAGAGTTTGTATCATATATTGTGTGAGTGTAACAGGATGCTTAAATATAATATTGTAAACATGAACTCGGATTACTAACCGACTGTTCACCAGGTGGTCTGCACTGGGGCAGAAAAACACTAATCATTTGATTCTGCCCACTGTTCCCAACATAGACAAGACTGGGACAGGAGATACCTTTGTGTACGAATATAGTGTGCAAACCTAACACTCATCATATCAACGCCGAATAATGGAGACATATGCAGTCTCTGAAGCATCAGACACCAACTCCACAATGACAAGGCTGATCAACCAAGAAAGCTTCGCTGTAGTTATATTTTTGTTTGTAATGATTACTTATAAATATAAGTTATTTTGTTATAGATGAACAGGCATGCCTCGTTCATTTTTTCACCCTCAAGTTATTAATACAGTTGTCAACATATGACGACTACTAAAGTAAAGAATATGTACTAAATCAGAATAAAATAAATGCTGAGAAATTATAAATAGAACATATTATATTGGATTTTGGGTTATCACAGTGGTGGCTATGAAGGGTACCACTATCTCCCATATTGACCTTCACCATATTACATAGCATGATATTCCAGAAGACAAGACTATTCAGAAAATACTATATTTATGCTTCAGATGAAAAGATTACCACCAGAGTTGGCAGACAGAATACATGTGAAGCCATTTAGTATCATTCAGATCACAATCATATCTGTGGTCTTCACAGTACGGTGGGTTATGTTCAAGGCGATGTGACAACACTATCCCACTTTATATCAATTGAAATTACATCTCCAAAAATTTTAAAATGCTTCTTTGTGTAGTAAACAACTCTTAGCCTTATTAAAAATAGTAAAATTTAAACACTATGAGCACAGGTTATAGTGCATGCTGCCTTTTGACAGAATTTAATTCAAAGTGGTCGTGGTTTACTTGTTGGGTACAGTAAGATTAACATCTATACAGTCACAAAATGGAAGTTCTCATACAGAAAGATCAAAGGCAAGAGTAAGATTACAGATTTCAGTTTTTCCATGAAACCTCATTTATTTCAGGATGAATCTCATCACTTGCATTAAGATAACTCACATCTGAATTGAGCATAGACAATAGCAAAAAGTAACGTTGTACAGGGACAGAATAAACTGAACATAAAACATATGTAGGTAAGTGCAATACCTTGACCTGTCTGAGTTAAATTACTGATTGCCTGTTTATTTATTTATTAAAATAAAAGAGGAGCTTTATCTGATCCAAAACTGTTAACACTTTTGTAAGCCATAAAAGACCGTATTCTGGAATCATACTGCCATAGCAGCAAATAAAACAGAAGTCAGCTTACAAAGATAATTTTATTGATTACAAATTTAATAAAGCTACTTACAAAACATTGTAAAAACATTTGTTCAAAAAGTCTCCTTAGTACATATAAACTCTAAAATTACACAAAAAAAAACATTCTTACCATACAAGCAACAAAAAATACTTTCCTTTTAATACAAAATCTATACAGTCATGCCTACTTTGAAAGATGACTTCACCATATAATTAAATTCTGTTAACAACTGATAAATGCATAACAGTTTATTTTAATGGGACATGCAACAATTAGTTTCTGCGATTTGATGTTAAAATTTACCTGGTGGAATGACAATATTAACACTTTACATTCACAAGCAGGCCACTGCAGAATTATGTAAACTGCCCCTTTACTTATCATCATGAGTGCCAGAATTTCAAACATCAGTAGGCATAAACATGATGAACATGAAGAGATAATTATAATATTCCAAAGCACCTAAACATCATCCAAGATTCACTGCTACTTCCTGACTAGGCAAGTCGAGTAGTACAAGGTTTTTCAATAAATAAGGAAACACAAACTTTTATATCAATTTTTGTCCTGTAAACATATGCTTAACTAGCACCATCAATGCTTGCTCATACACAAACATCATTGGTTACAGAGATTCCGCACACAAGCAACATCTTATCAAAGTGCGACCATAAGAAGGTATTTGAATGAATGAACTAAATTACCTTTGGAAACTATAAACACAAAGGACCAATGGCAGATTCTTATAGTGAGGGTGATCAAATCATTGAGGATGAGATGGGCAGGCCATGGAACCTGAGACATTCATACAAAATTTTGGTTGAAGAATCAGTAGGGAATAGACCATCTGGAAGACCTGGGTGTAGACAGGATTATAATATTAAAATGGATCTTAAACAAACAGGGTGGGTATAGGTGTGGATTGCATTCATCTGGCTCAGCATAGGGACCGATGGCAAACTCCTGTGAATTTAGTAAAGAAACTTCAGGTTCTATGAAAGGAGGGGAATTTTTCAACTACATGAGACATGGTTATTAGTTACTCCATGTAGTTACATTTTTAAAAAGAATTGTAGAAAATATGCACATAATACGAGACTTAAAAATTACAATTGTGGCACACCAATACAAAAGTCTTTCATTCCAAGTTATACAAAGACATAATATTAAACAGTGATAATAAGTGGCAAAATAATACAAAAGAAATATCTTGGGATGAAAGGTTACTGTGATTTGACAAAGCAGTAAGTGTTTTCTAATCAATAAGCATAGCTGTCATTAAGACTAATATACACCATTTGTTTTCCTGTACACACAGACTTGGATATTTGTCTGTATCATCTGATCATTTTATAAATGTAGTCTTTAAAAACTACTGATTTATACCACGGGCCAAGTTTAGTCATGCACATATTTCTTATTTAACATACTTACCCATACAGAAATATCTGAAACACATTTGTCTTAAACATGGTCCACCCTCACACAATAACCAGTCTAGCATGTGTTATTTAATGTTGTTTTCAGCACCAATGCTACATAACATAGGAGAGTAGGATGACTGATAAATTGGGAAGGATCTGGAAGGAAGTGGTCTTACCCTAAATGAGGTACTATCCTGACATTTTCTGGCGAGACTCAGGAACTCTACCACAATCAACATGTGATTCAGCCTATATTCAATCCAAACACCTCCCACACATAAAATTAAAAAATCATCTCTTGCATGAAAAATTACAGATCCTGAAGGACAATTTGAAATCAAGATATCAGTGAACATGGTATGAACTTACAACATTCTGAAGAGACAGCCTGACAGTATAAATACAATAATGACAGCCAAGATTATCTTTTTTTGGCAAAGATCAAATGTGTATCACTGACTCAAACACTACCATTTATTGTTGCCATCTTACAGTTCTACCATTCCTGAGATTTGGCTTTTTTGCCCTGGGAACAACATCCCTCAAACTGACAAATGCTGCATTGCTTAGACTAACAGAGCAGGTCATTTTAGAAACAAAACAAGTCACTTTTTTATTGATCCTGAGTTACTGGAAATGTCATGTTTTTTTTTTTGCACAAGCCTGTCATATTGTATATAAACAATATGAGTCACTTTATTTCCCTGTGTGGTGGTAGGCTTGAAATATTTCATGTTGCTTGCACTCATATGATGTTTTTACAATGAAAGTGGTTTCTAGAGCACACTAAGGTCAAACTACCACCTGCAGGATAAAATAGCTCATCACTGTTATTGTCATTTAAAATAAAAGTAGTACACTGTATCTGGAGATGTCTGACACAAGTAGTTCTGATGGCGGCAAAAACCAAATAAAGGAGTTCAGAATGATGGCACATGTAAATATTGTGATTATCAAAGCCATGTGCAAGGTAAGGAATAAATCAACTACAAAGGTCCAAGTGTGGAAGCAAAGAAGGCAGGAACAAACTGCTCATGTTGGAAGCATCATTTTGACAGCACTGATGAAGCATGCCAAGCTCATATTTTAAAGTTATTAGTTTCGAATAAAAGTCTATTAAATCTTACCTAAAACAATCAGCATAAATCTTCAAGAACATGAAATTCACAGGTGATGGGGAGACACCCATACATGATAACATTTCCAAACTAAATAATATATATATATTCGGACTGAAGAGAGATGAAGTGACACGAGGCTGGAGAAAACTGCATAATGAGGAGCTTCATAACTTCTACGCTTATCCAAGTATAATTAGAATGATCACGTCAAGGAGGATGCGGTGGGCAGGGCATGTAGCATGAATGGGGAAGAAGAGGAATGCATATAGGAAATTGGTGGGAAAGCCAGAAGGAATAAGACCACTGGGAAGACCAAGGCGTAGGTGGGTGGACAACATTAAAATGGATCTTAGAGATACAGGATGGTATGGATTCGATTGATCTGGCTCAGGATAGGGACCAGTGGAGGGCTTTTGTAAACATGGTAATGAACCTTCAGGTTCCATATAATGCTGGGAAATTCTTGAGTGGCTGCAGAAGTGGTGGCTTCTCAAGAATGGCTCAGCTCCACGAGTAAGTAAGTAAGTTTCGAATAAAAAATCAACATGACACTTCTTGCAAGGGTTAACTTAAGTTCATACTGTTAAACTACGTCAGAGTAAAGACACACTGACAAAGGGACAAAGACTTTTGCTATTCTGATAAGATCTATGGAAAGAGAACTGGTATTTGTAAAAAGGGTTCACTGCTTTACATGGCATGATCAAAAGGTGAGTCTCTGTACTCTACTTGTACATGGAAAATCTTGCCAGAAGCCAGGAGGGGGAGCAACCTACCACAATTGATGATATTCCTCCAGCATTTACCTAAATCACAAGTTGCACAACAGTAAAATGATCATTTTGACATCTTTATAAGTGACACTTTGCAGACCAGTGATCCGAATGTTTAAAGATCAGCTGAAACACAAATTAATTCTATTATGATAAACAGTGTCACAGTTGTCTCCATGACATAGGTCTGAAGCGAGCTGAGGCAATGGAAACTAATTGTCCTTGAACATCTTGTGTCCAACACCCTTCACTTTTCTTCCATTTATAGGGTGACAATTACATCATTCACATATTTCTCTTCTTAACCTGTTCTACCACACGTACATACCCTGTTATCATAAAGTCTGTTTAATTTTATTTCAAATCGTTCTCATATTTTTGTGATGTACTACTAAAAACTACACTTCTCTATAATTTCATAATTACTTCACCCAAAGTCAAATTTTCTGTAACACAGAACATTATTGAGGAATATGAATACCCTCCTGAGCTTCCGCAACCTGTCATACTATGGCCTCCTGGTTTCCTGTTCAGAGATCTCAATATATGCTGAAACTGGTCATGTTTCTATACATCAGAGCAGAACAAACCATAATACAGCTTGTCAGTTGACCAGTAATCCTTTATGGCAGAGTTTTTCAACCTTTTTCAACTCATTGTTAAGGCACACCATCAATTTTTAAGGAGAGATTTTATCATTAAAAAACAAGCAAAAAGTTTGTGTTTAAAAGTTCAATAGCTAAAATTCTAATCACAGTGTTATTTTTAAAAATAATGTTGAGCCTGGATTTCAATGATCTTTTTATTCCTCAATTTTTCTCTCTGCTTTTCGACCTTCCCCCAAACTCCTGTGGTACACTTGTGGACCCTTCGTGTTGCACCTGTGTGCCATGGCACACCGGCTGAAAATCGCTGCTTTATGGTGTCCCAGTCACTGTGATTCATCACAATTATCAGACCTATGAAATGATACTATATTTCATCAATAGTGATATCTGGTTGCAAAATTTCATTTCCTTTTCCTTTAGTGTGCTTCACCAGTATCAGCTTGATGTACCAAAGCAATACTAAAAAGATTATTTGTAAATATTAGTAAACACCTCTGGAATAGTGAAGAATCTGCACTGATATGGGACAGAGCAACATGACTGAAACTCACACTGGAAGCATCGAACTGATATACTGTAACCCTGTCTTTGCTTCCTCTCTTGTGCCATGCTTCATTTCTTACAACACCACCACTACTATATACTTAATCACATGTAACTTCAATATCAGAATCATCTGGGATAAAATGAATTTCAGTATAAGAATAAAGAAACTCAATCAAATTTTCACCAAAATAACATGAATATTTCATCATGGTGCTGGCAATCAAACTACTGATTTTGAGACTTATAAACCCAAAATCCATAAGCTAAAAGACATCAGTTTAGATGTAAGTCTAACAAGTAACACAGTATCTCACACATAAACTATATCCACTTCGTGTGCACTATAGGCAAGAGCTTTTAATAGCACACAATATTCTAAGCACTTGTTCACTTAACACCAAGATCTCTGCAGTTAGTACATTAACTGTATAACCCTTACACCCTGCAGTTAGTAAATTAGCCACCCATTCAAAGACAGTTAATGAAGATCTATAGTCTTACCTCTCACACATGGCTGGCTGCATGTATAAAATATCCTATCCAATTAGCTAAGACTGTAACATCATGCAAAGAAAAAAATCAATCAAAATACCAGACAGCACAAAAAAATACATAGGAAGAGCAGTTTCTCATTTCAGTACAGGAACAGTATGCTGTGATGGTAAAAGGTACTGTAACATAATGATAGTGTTGCTTATCAAGTGGATGCATACATAAAATAACAATCTGCAAATGTTTTGTACTGAAAGCACATATACAACATGTGTAAATATCACAACTGGTAAAAAGGGCAGGCCTTACCAGAATGAGACACAAAGAAATATGATTATGTACATGTTCCTTCCATCCTTACAAAGTATTCAAAACCTTACTTTGTGAAAATAAAAAATTATGCTTCTATTTCCATTAAATAATTTTCATTTTTATGCAAAATCACGAGTTTCCACCTTCTGCACTAGTGCTTGTGTACGCAAGTATATTTATAAAATGTATCAATCCATGAACTCAATGATGGCAATGATAAGGCCTGTTGCCATTTGTCAGTGACATACTTTCTGAAGTGAAAACAAAAATATAACATTGTAGCATAGGACTTCAAACTTCATTGGAACAAGAGTTTGCCATATGACATAATAATGATGTAATCCTGTAACAATATTTGGCAATATTAATTCTAAGAGCTTGAACAGTGACTGCAATAGCTATTCTTGTGCTAAAGGCTTGTCATAGCTGGAGGGCGTGCATATGCCTTGGGAATGAAGCCATATTTTCGAGTCTTAGGCGCATATGCCCACAGCCATCCATCTACAGTCTGATTATTGAGATCTGCATAGATCCAGTCACCTCTTCGAACAGAGAGGTCATCAGGAGCCTGTGCCTGTTTAAACAAAAAAAAAAAAGGAAAAAAGAAAGGCGTTGATGTTAATCAAACGTAACTTCATTATGGTCATTCATGCTGCTTCACAGTTCCAAATTCAAACACCACAACAGAAAATAACTTAACAGGCACATATGACAGCTTCTATCCACTAAAGTTGGCACTAACTTTGTCGACAAGCATAGCTCGGTCGATATAGTTCGCTTGCGGACTACAAGCCACGGAGTTTATATAATAAAAGTATTAAATTTTAATTATTTTTATGCTATCCTAGAAGCCACCTGGAATAACTGAGAAAAACCATAGAAACTCCATTAATGAGAGATATACCCTTTGTGATTCATACAGTGAAACCTCAATATCATGAGAATCTATAAAATCTGAGAAATTCTTACTCTAATGGATATTCATAACATAACAAAACTGAATACACAACTACAAACCCATCCCCCTACTTCCAATTAAATATGGCACTAAGTGTTTGAATAACTGGCAAAATCGGGATCCAAGTGTCCGTTGATAAGACATGAACCAGCCTGCAACATCTTAGTAGGTGATGCCAAGAAAAGTGTCAGCACTGGACAGACAGACATCATGAACAACAATGTGAATCCTTAACAGGACTCAAACAGGCAAAGGGACTCATACAAGGACCATCTGCCAGAAGAGCCAAGGAACTGCTAAGTTTAAACAGAAACCAATTATGGTGGGTGGAATGACTACTTACACGACACTGTCACCTAAAAGGACACCTTTTTCAAAACAGGAGTGACAGACAATCCTATCTATAAAAGGTGCCTAGAAAAAGCTGAATCATCCACGCACATCCTATGTGCGTGTGAGGACATAGCTTTTTCAAGATTTTGTCACCTAGGCCACTATTTTGTGGAGCCAGATGGCTATTATGACACCCCTTCATTTGAATGTGTTGGATTTCTGTAGGTTAAAATAGAGGAGTATGCACAGTAGATCAGTAAAGGTTGTGGTGCAAGGGTCAGATGTTAGGACTGTCAGGCCCACTTCTTATGTATGTACTGTCACATGTTTGGGGGTGAGAATATAGATGCGATATGGACTGCAGAATGGATTTATTGACCACTTACACACACCACTCAGAATTACAAGTAATTACAGTAAAAAGTAAAAGCAAAGCTATCCCTGTAACAGGCCGTGAAGACCCATAGGGTTGTGAGATGTTTAAGGTCCCACATTACCTTGACAATCGGCTCAAAGATGGCGGTAAGGTTGTCAGCCTTACGTGCCAGCCGCGCTTTACTCCCCAGGAAAATTATTTAATTCCTGGTACTCATTTCTGTTAGATGCTGAGTAAACTCTAGGGCCTAGTGCGGCCGGAAGGATTAGGTCAACTGAAAAAAATCCAATGATCTCATCGGGACTTGAACCCGTGACCTTCCGGCTTGTAGCATAGTACCTTAACCACTGCGCTACCACATACCCCCCAAGTAATTACAGCACTATCACTAATCTCCATACTTTACAAACCAACACAGCACCCAGCAAACCTTTTTTCAGCACGCTCTGTCTTCATCAGACATTCCCTAGTAATAGCTTCAAACACAGAGATTCTTCAGCTTCACACACTCAAGTGCTAATTTCACAGCTTCCAGTATGAAAGGAGAATAGCAAAGCAGAAGAGCACAAAGAGCTCCCAAGGGATCCTCTGGGAGGATATTCTTCTCTAAGTTCACCTCATTAGAACAGCCCTCTGCAGCTGCATTGTGTCAAGACATTCAACAACAGCAACCACAGGCACTGCAGACAGGTGGGAAAAACATGTGGCATCCCATTCAGCAGCACCGGACACAACAGGAAATTCAGAAAACATGTCTGACAGTACAGGCCCCTAGTTTGTCTGACAATGACAAGTTAAAAGTAGCCATTGTACTGCGATGGATCATGAGAGCTCAGTAAAGCTGTATCAGAAGAAGACAAAATAACGATCATTACAATAAATGTACTTAACATAATACCACAAAATTGCTGCTAGAGTTCATAGGCCACTCAAAATGACAGCATTTAACACAAATGACATTTTGAGGGAGCACTACGAGCTCAGAAAACAGCTGCAAGACTTACATACAGATGTGGCTCTGCCTTCAGAGACACATCTCAAAGCACATGAGAGGTATATATAGTGAAAAAGGACAAATCATTAGTAACATGATATAAAGTGTGATATGTATGCTCAACAAAAGGCCAAGCATATTCATAAGAGACAAACCCATCTTCTTGTCAGAGAGGCTATTACATGAGGACTATTACTGCAAGGGATCAGTTGAAAAAAAAAAAGATCTCTGGTCATGAGTCTCATGGGGCTTGATGACAAAATGAACTGATCGAAGGTAAACCACCAGTCATAAAGTAACTTTTACATCAAAGTTAGTCAGTTACAAGTCATGAGATGGCACCTGTATTTGGTTGTTAGCCATGTGCGTGGAAGTAGAGGATTCTCTACTGTCAGAAGCCAATACCAAGTAATGACTAGTGAAAACACAAGAGACTGAGAAGACTTAGTGTGTGCTGCAGTGATTCATACAGTGTTAACTTTATTTGCAGTTACAAGTCATAAGCACTCAATATATCCAACTACCAATCCAAACTCAGGTCAAGTCACTCACACATAACAACATTTTTCCATTATTCTTTTGTGGTATTTTCCCTTCTCTCACTTTTAACTATGTTATAAACATTTGTTCTCAGTAATCACAACTTCTGTTCATTCTGCCTAACATTTACCTGATCTTACAACCATAGCTTGCTGTTACAAGCTGTACACTTATACGAGGTGTGTTCAGGAAATAACGGGAATTTTAAAATTTCGCGGGTTTGGAGAGTCCAATTGTCAAAATTTTNTATGTATGCTCAACAAAAGGCCAAGCATATTCATAAGAGACAAACCCATCTTCTTGTCAGAGAGGCTATTACATGAGGACTATTACTGCAAGGGATCAGTTGAAAAAAAAAAAGATCTCTGGTCATGAGTCTCATGGGGCTTGATGACAAAATGAACTGATCGAAGGTAAACCACCAGTCATAAAGTAACTTTTACATCAAAGTTAGTCAGTTACAAGTCATGAGATGGCACCTGTATTTGGTTGTTAGCCATGTGCGTGGAAGTAGAGGATTCTCTACTGTCAGAAGCCAATACCAAGTAATGACTAGTGAAAACACAAGAGACTGAGAAGACTTAGTGTGTGCTGCAGTGATTCATACAGTGTTAACTTTATTTGCAGTTACAAGTCATAAGCACTCAATATATCCAACTACCAATCCAAACTCAGGTCAAGTCACTCACACAAGACAACATTTTTCCATTATTCTTTTGTGGTATTTTCCCTTCTCTCACTTTTAACTATGTTATAAACATTTGTTCTCAGTAATCACAACTTCTGTTCATTCTGCCTAACATTTACCTGATCTTACAACCATAGCTTGCTGTTACAAGCTGTACACTTATACAATGTTCAGTGCATTAACAGTGGTTATTATTTACATGTGTATACTTCAATTGATCCTATGGTAATAAAAAGAAGCATATTTCACACTCAGTGTACTTTGTTTCTTAGTTCTGGCTCCCAAATTTTAGAGGTGGCTCATATATATATATATATATATAAGCCTGGTTATGAGCTTTCATTGTAAGAAACTTCTACTGCATTCTCCTCACCTTATGGTTGAACAACATGACAAGTTCTGTACCTGATAATGAGCTTTCATTGCAGGAAACTTATTGTATGATCCTCACCTTATAGTCATACAACATGACAAGTTCTGTACCATGATAACGAAGGTCATCACTGGAAGGAGAATTCAAGAGGTGAGCATTGTTAGGAGATGCAAAATTGTTATTTACATTCTGATTATTGCTCTGGTTTAAATGTCCTGTAAAAAAGAGTAAGACAAGAATATATCTTCTCTCTCAATAAAATAAGATTTATGGTACAAGGTGGTACAGGAAACTTCCTTGACTGTTGTTTAACTGCCTCAGTGAAAGAATACGAGGGAGAGGCCAAGGTCACACTTCCAAAATCCTACTGCATCAGTCTACCATGTGACACCATGCTGTGAACACACATTGTTTTTACACTAATGCTTTTTTGACTTCGTGTTTTGTTTTTTCTGCAATGGATGAAAAACTCCAGCAATGTGTCTGCATCAAGTTTTGTGTAAAGCTCAGTAAATCTGCTACTGAAACCATCAAAATTCATGAGGCTTTCGGAGAACATTCTTTAAGCCAGACAGCTGGTTTTGTATGGCACTCACGTTTCAAGGCCAGTTGAGTGTGAGCTGATGATGATAAATGTTCAGGGCTACCAAACACAAGCAAAACGACATAAAATGTTCAAAAATTTTGAGAACCCATCCATGAAGACAGTTGCTAAACAAGCCATGAGCTCGCAGACACTGTTGAGATCGGTTATGGAGTTTCCCATGAAATCTTAGAAAATTTGAGCATGTATCACAATGCTCCTTCATCACGAAAACGTGCCCACTCACATGTCCCTGAAAACCACAGAGTTTGTGACTAACAAGAACATGGTTATCATTCCCCATCCTCCCTACTTGCCAGACTTAGCCCTCAGTGATTTTGATTTGTTTCCCAAATTGAAAATTAAACTGAAGGGATGACATTTTGAAACACTGTCTAACATCCAAAACAAATGCAAGCTGTACTCAACAGCATTAAGGAAAATGACTTCCACGGTGCTTTTGAAGCATGGAAAAACGATTAGATCACTGTATATGTTCCAAAGGAGACTATTTTGAAGGAGATGGCAGCCAAAATCGAGTAAGATAAGCCAACATTTCTCTCTTGACCTGGTCTGGGAACTTTCTGATAGCACCTTGTACATATTTATAAATAAGTTACTTAACATGCCAGTATTAGCAATGCAGTTATACAGCACAGTATGAAGAAAAGAGGATATACTTTGATCTCTTAACTGAATTTCATGATCGTAAATAGGTACCAAACAAAACAACTTCGAAAATGTTCACACAGTGTAGCAATTATGGCACGCCTTCTCACTTTTGTTCAACTATCTCAAAAACCTTAAGAATTACAGAAAAGTGTACTGGGAATAAAATAAGTGTTTCATTTTTCTCTACAGCTGGTGTTAAAAAATACAATGAATTCAATGATCGAGGAAACCTGGCAACCTGTTGAGCCAAAACAACATTTCTCACAGAGTGCTGCTGTAACTGCCAATAGCAGAATGAGTCATTATACTTGTTACTTGTCTGTTGTGTCCTATTGTGTACTACTGCCACCGGGCTAAAACCCAATTGCAGTATAATAAATAATATAAGATATAAAAATTAACACTGATAAACACACGCAGTCAGGTGGCCTTATCTTGTCACTGCAGTAAGTTGCATTAAGAGTCAGTCTGTGTTAGAGGTGTCGATAGACGGTTGACATTTATAATGAAATGAAGTTCACTATTGAACAGTGTGTGTTTATTGTCAAAATTTTTGTGAGGAAAAAAAAAAACTGACAGAAAATGTATCTGTAAGTTTTGTCATAAATATCCTGACTCACCAGTTCCAACAAACTCATGTGTATCCAAGCTTGTGAAAAAGTGGCGGACCATAGGTTCAGTATGTGACATAATGAAGCAATCAAAGAGGATTTTGCTGACTGAAGAAAAGGTTTGGGATATTGAGATAAGATGACAGATCAGTCCTTGAAAATCGTTACGACGCTTAGCACAAGAATCTGGTGTTTCACTACGATCTGCTTTCACAGCCACAAAATTAATCAAATTTCGCCTGTATAACATAACAGTTGTACATGAGCTGAAACAACCGGATTATGCAGCAAGAATTTGTTTTTGCAACTGGCTGCTGCAAAATGTGCATGATGGAATCGTGGATTCACAGCTTCTGTACATGACTGATGAAGTGTGGTTTTATGTTAGTGGCCATGTCAATGCACAAAATATAAGAATATGGAGTGATGAAAATCCTCATGCTATACAGCAAGTGCCATTACATAGTGAAAAGGTGGGGGTTTGGTGTGCTGTAAATCCATGCCGAATCATTGGTCCCTTATTTTTCCACAAAACTGTGAACTCTTAACTGCTACATTACTGATATACTGAATCTATTCTTCAATCAGCTGACTGCTGAAAAAAGACAATATGGGTATTTTCAGCAAGACAACGCTGCAGCACACACGGCTAATGCAACCATGGTCACAATATGGGAAGTGTTCGGAGACCGAGTAATCAGCAGGGGACTGGGGCCTCCCAGATCTCAATTTTTGCGAATTTTATATTTGGGGAAACCCTGAGGGAAACATCTACAATAATCCTCGCAGCGGAAGCTCTGCAGAATGAAATAACACACATAATTGGTTCAATTACCATGGACCAACTTCAGAAAGTGTTGCATAATTTATTTATGCGATGCAAGGCATGTTTGCAAGCAGAGGGGTGTCACTTTCAGCGCCTCTTATAAAGCACAGTATTCTCATATGTGTGTGCATGTGCAGAGACTGATGTGAGGGAATTAGAAACATGGCTCAACTCTCACTAGTGGGGAATGCCATAGTGGTCATGGAAACTACACTTGAGATGTGAATAGAAACACATGTAAATCCTCATATAAAGTGCCTATTACAGTTGTCTGATTTTTCCCAAAACTGAAATGTGTCAACAAGTTTTAATAAAACTCCGCAATATCAAATTTCATGAAAATCAATTCAGCAGTTATTGGTTCCTACAAGTAGACAGATGGGCACACAATTAATAAGTAATGTCTGTGTTCAGAAATTTTGGATGTGAATGCATCAAAAATAACCCTCCATCTTTCTGCCTGTACCTCACCAAAATATGATTTGGTTTGAATACATTTCAAATATGCATTTCAAGCATAAAATTGCCCTACAAAGCACAACCATGTAAAAGGAATTTCCCTGAACTGTTCATCTTCATATACTTCCACAGATAAATCACAAATTATTGGATAAGTAAATGACCTGATCTTCTATGAAGGCAGAAGAAACAAATTATCAGACTAAGCATCGTTTTTGTAATAGATGAGACTCCTTAGGTTTGACTTTCTCAGCTTTCCTCACCATACCTTGTATGACATGTGCTGGATACACAAAGCCACTGGGAACAAAACCTTCCTGCCCATCACTTCGAACAATCCAGTACCAGTCAGGATCTTCTCTGTTGAGAACAGTCACAAATTCACCTCTCTCCACACTCACATCATTCTCATCGCGAGCAATGAATGTGTACAGGACAATGTAGCGACCTGATGGATCCTGAAAAGGCACATGTCAAATTATAACATATACATAAAAGCAATGGTCACATTAATGCTGGAAGACTATTTCATAGAGGGAAGGTATATTTAGCTAGTCCTGATATAAGTGAAACATGAGAAGAATTTCTCATAATATAATGTTCAATGACATCCAACCACATTACTCTCTCCAAATAAAGGAAGCAAACCTTAAGGTACTAAAACATGTTCACAGGCCTTTTCCAAACATTTTATCTGTTGCTCCTTTGCTTTGTTACAGCAAAAAATTTTCATGCATTTCATTTCAAATATACTTCTAGTGAAGAAACTTCAGTCAGTCACCTCTATGAGAAGATGTGTAACTTATATGCCAGTAATATAAAAACACAAATATGATATTTTGTCACAGAAGCAGTTATTTGGACTAGTATGTCTTAAGAATAAGTGGCACATTTGAATTGACTAAGAAAATAAAAAATATATAATTATTAAAACATAAACCCAAAAACATGCAGGAATAGAGTACTAAAAAGAAATAACTCATGCAAAGCAATACTGAACACAAAGGCAAAGGCTTGTTTTGATCCTGTCTTTGGCCGATGGTCTATGTAGACGTGAACTGTATTGCTGTATTGCTGACATTTCAAATACCGTTAGTCCCCATCTGCAAGACAATGTGGCTATCCCATGATCCTAGCCAACATAAAGTATATGTCTACCTTTGGGTAATAGGTAATAGCCAATAAGAAGAGTTCTATCTTCTGGGGTGTAACGCTGCGTATTTTATTCAGACAAACACGTTGCTTCCATCTTCCATCAATAAATCAACATGATGTAAGTGGCAAACACACTTTGTTCTGCTGCTTACCCACTGGTTTACTGCTTGGTTCAACCCTGAGGATGAAAGCAGCACATTCTTTCGAATCATCAGTCAACTTTTAATGCATTATCTGGTGTTATATCCTAGAAGTCAGAGCTCTTAATATTCACCACTGTGAAAATCTCAAACCCTACAGCCAATAATAAGCTGGACAAACAGATATAAAAACGAGAAACTCATTTGGGGGGGGGGCTGGGATAGAGTATCTGACATATTTATACAGATGTGAGGCCAGCTAGCTCCCAGAGCCAGCCTGCACATGGTGCCAAAGAAAAAAGTCCCCAGACTGTGCCCTTCTAAGTTCTGATATCATGCAGCCTTGCAGATGGTTACTAATACCTGTATTTCAAAGAAACCTGCTGCCCCCACCTTCATGGATGATTATCGTGAGGGAGGCAGTAGAATCTTTGGAACACTGGTCAGCCTCTATCAGACTACACGTTGTCATAATCTAAACAGCGCCATCAAAAATTACATGTCTAATCTCATACAGAGATACCTTGAATCCTGCCAGGAATAGATCCATGGTCATCCAACCCACAGTCATGAACTTTAATGACTGAGGAAGTACAGATACTGTTTCAGAGTTCTTAATTACGTACCTTAAAGAAAGGGTGAACATCAGGTTGAGAGGATGAGACACTATGAAGTGATGCTTGTGAACTTGTGATGTTCAGTTGCTGTGTTGCCACAGTTACTTTCTTGTTACCATAGCTCTCACAATCAGACATATCTGTAAGTTAAATGTATGTGTCAGAAACTGAACTTCCTGTTTAAATATTAAAACTCTCAAATCAAGATAACCAGAACTGTGATTATAGTTTTGTAATGAGTTCTGTCCCATCCACACTACTTGATATACAGAAGCTCCTGAACATACTGACAAGTGAATTTGATCAGATACCTTCCCATGGAGTCCATATTCACTTCCCAAGCAATGACTCATATTTATTACATTTCTTGCTGGAGTCAGTGGTCAGTTTCCAGATAGAAACTATTCCCTATACAAGAAAAATAGTCAGTCTTTGAATGGTCTGTTAACTACCACAACGAGAAGCTTAAGCTCAGAACCATAACTCCAGGTATGGTCACTAGGTGTGCATTCAACTGAGAATTTTGGAATTTCTCCTTATATGTTCCTGAAAAGTATCAATGGCTGTCCAACTTGAAACCAGTGAGGGGCAGACCATATCATAAGTATCTAAACACAGGACACAGAATGAAACAACCCCCCTCCCCCTCAATATACTGACATCTGGCCTGAAACAGTCAGATATGAAACAGGAACACAAGAACAAAAACTGTACCCAAAAAGTTAAAAAAATTCATTTAAAATTAATGCTGCTTGGTTTCCAGTGTTTAAGATTCACCTAGTAAAGGTTTGCTAGACAGTACTGACATTGTGTATGTTCTCAGAACCATGCTAAATCAATATTTCTCTAAGTTATTTATCAGGTGCCACATATTATACAGTATTTAGTAAGTACTTTTCATAAAGCTTCTTCATCAAGATTCACCACCTCTTTTAGAGTGGAGGTGTTAGCCCTTTAGCTCCAAATGGTTAATTTAAAGATAATCTCTTAAATCTTAAATCAAACAAATGATAACATTGGTGACATTCACACATACCGATACTGAGCACCATATTTCAATAATTTTCTGGATGATCAGCGTATGTCTAGTTCTGATGTTGCATGCCACAGTTACCTTACTGAACAACACTTTTGTTATTCAATCCACAAGTCCACCTATTATAATGCTTACTGAAACAATGGAGTGTTGTTGTGCCTAAAGTTTCCTGTGGTCAAAATTCTGTTGTCCTGCTTCCCAAACACTGTTCAGGAACTTGACTGACCTATTTTTACAACTGTCGGTCATGTGTTACAAACTTGCAGCTAAATAGCTTCACAAGATAATTTCCCTTATTGCTGGAGCTGTCAGTTGTGGATTTAGTTCAACTTCCCATCCAAAAGCCAACCATGGCAACCTTGTCATGGTGGGGGGGGGGGACATCCCAAAAGATGGTGAACAGGACAATGGTCCAACTAAGCCAAGCTGTGAGGCATCATGCAGAGGGCTGCATGGAACTGGGGTGAAATTTAGGCACTGTTGTTAACAGTCCCCTCAAGGAACAAGGCAGCACCCTGTTATACAAGGTGTATCCACAAAATAAGTTCCGTTTGAAAATATTGTCACTGCAGTGCTGCAGTTACTATGGTGCGCATGAGTGCAGAGTTTGTTGGTCCCTTTGAAAGGCACGGATGCCATATGCAGACAATCGAACCACGTTTACGCATTGTCCTGTGTGTTTACAATGTTCAAGAAAATCAAGAAGCCTACCGCATCTGAAATGCAGTCCGTAATCATATGAAACATGAAACCAGCTGATATTCATCAACTTTGTGAGGTGTATGGAGAACATGCCATGAGTGATTCAATGATAAGCAGATGGGTGAGACACTTTTCGGATGCGAAAATGTGCATGATGATATGTGGAGTGGCCGACCATCTGTGGTTAATGATTTGGTGCATGCAGCGTAAGAGAAGATTCAGGAGAACAGACGATTCACCATTTCGTCACTTCCCTGCATTTTCCACAATTTCATGGTCACTTCTTCACGAAATTGTGTTCGATAAACTTTGTTTTCAGGAAGTGTTCATGCTGGGTGCTGCAGATGCTTACAGATGAACACAAAATGAAATGGCAGTCCAGTGCGTTGACCTTTCTGACATGATACAGTGAGCAAGGCAATGACTTCTTGAGCCACACAGTCACAGGGGACAAGACATGCAGCAGGAATGGAGGCACACATCATCTCCAATAAGGAAAAAATTGAAACAGACCATTTCCAACTTGCAAGATCATGTGCACAGTGTTTTGGGACAGAAAAAGCATCTGCTTACAGAATACTTGCCTCAAGGCTTTCAACAATCAAAGCAAATGTCTATTCTGACACACTAAAGATACTGTGTTGTGTGATACAGAACAAGCAATGTGGCATGCTTAGTATGGGTGTTGTAATGCTTGATGACAATGTCCACCCACACAGTGCCGCTGCAACATAAGATCTCATCGCAACATTTGGCTGGGAACAATTTGACCATCCCCCTTAAGCCTAGACTTAGTGCCAAATGATTTTGACGTGTTCCTGCATCTGAAAACGTTCCTCAGTGGCTGGCAGTTCCACGATGGCAACGTCAAAGAAGCTGTTAACATGTGGTTTGCATCACAGGTGGAATCATTCTATGATGCAGGAATACCAAAACTGGCTCCCCACTATGACAAGTGCCTCAACAATAATGGAAACTATGTCAAAAAGTAGCATACAGTCTGTACATCAAATGGCAATATAAATGGTTTGGAAGTTTTTTTTCAATGGCTGAATGGAACTTACTTTCTGGATAACCTACATATTTATGCTTTCCACCCATATGAGGTGCTGGGTGGCAACCCCTTACATCCATTTACTAGTGGGCAATGGCCCTAACAGGCTGGGATCAGGGCTGCGGATGCCAGGCACCTCCTCAAGCCTATCAAGGTGGCTCTCAGGAGGACTGGTGCTGGATGGGTAACCTGGGCCACAAAGCCAAAGGATCATCCTTCATATAGACTGGGACTTCCATGAATCATCCTTCATATAGACTGGGACTTCCATGAAGCTGTCAAGGAGACAGGGTAAAAGATATTCACAGATCTCACTCAGGGGACCATTAAGGTCCAGAGAGATCCTGAAGTATGGCCCAAGTAGGAAAAATGGGCCGCAACAAGTCCAGCATCCTCAGAATCTGTCTTCAAGGAGATCGGATTACTACATCCACCCTTTCAGGCCTAAGATTGCTGTATGAAGGAGAGCAGCCGAGACAGCAAGGAAAATGCCTCCCTCAAACCTGCTCTAGTAGATCCGAAGCCCCCTTTAGAGGGAATCTCGTATGCCAAGAAAGGAGAAGGGAATGGGGAGGGGATGGAAACAGACCATCTTCCCAGTGAAACAAAAGAGGTGTAAGAAAAAAAAAACTTTAACAGCATGAAATTCATTCAAATCGATGTCCAAGCACAGTAAAGTACAACTACAGCAGTCCTATGTTAGCAGCTTGCTGAGGTAATTGTAGATTTTACCCCTTATTCAGGAAGCACTGTTTTATAGAGGCAAAATAACTGGTTCAACTAACTGACGGGAATCAATTTTTCTGTTGCATCCAACAGCAATGCAAGATCCTGTTTTTATATCAGGAACCATATTAATGCCCTACCGTTGTTGGAACTTTTCTAGGGGACACAACAATGATGAGATGACATATACAAGTGGAAAAAGCTGTGAGGAGCTTATCCTCACCTCAGGGTACCTTCCACACAAGGAACATCTGCTGCAGCAGGAAAGAGCAACTCATCACTGGGTGTGATGCCAATGCACACCACATATTATGGTGGAGCACTGGCACCAGTCCCAGAAGGGAAAGCTTCATAGAGTATCTGGTGATTCTGAACCTGGATATTCTTAATCAAAGTAACAAGCCTACCTTTGTAGTTTGCAACAGGAAGAAGGGTACTGACTTAACACTAGCAAGCAATAAAATAAGGAACCCGGTAACTGGCATGAATCTGATGAGACATCTTTTCAGACCAGTTACATATGCTTTCAAAAAGGTACACAGCTATAACTCGAGTTACTTTCAGGGATCCCAAAAGAACCAAGTTGGAGTCATATAAAGACTACCTAAGGGTAAATCTTGAGACCATGTCACGAAGTATACCCATGATAAGAGACAAAGATCTGGCTGCTGACCAGGTGCATCAAGACATCATCTCCTCCCATCATATTAATATTCCAGCCAAGACCACTTGCTCACCAAGGAAAGTACCTGGGTGGAACAAAAAGCTGAATGGGTTGACAGCCAAAATAAGAAGACTATATTTAACACAGGTAAAAGGACAGGTCACTGGGCCACCTATAAGGAAGTCCTCACCTGTTACAACAAAGAAATTTAGGAAGCCACTAGACACATGAAGATCATGGTCAATCAGGTGACCAACAGGGCTGACAATACTATCACATGATGGAGTGACTAGAGATGGGGTTTGGATTGTTAATCAAATTTACTGAAGCTTTAAACATACAACTCACAACTACACTTCACAAATCACTATCGCACATAGACTGGTGTTCTGAGTCAAAGTCTTCAGTGCTCTGCTTGGTAGCAGCTTCCAAGAGTGTAGAATCCTCAGCTTCCATGTCCAAAAGCTCCTGTCCTCACTTGCTGGCACTTTTCAGCTGCAGCTCCTGAGCTTAACTGGCTTCTAACTGCCAAACCATATGTAGTCTAGGCACGGACCACACACAAAACACCTATCCAAACAGTTCTTCTATTGTTACATCACATATCTATTGGCACAGACTGCGTAGAGAACACCACTTCCCAGTTGCTCCACTGTTCTGTGTTACGAAGCTGTTGCCTAGCAACAGGCATCTTTGCAGAGACATTCTCTAGCAACAGCCATCTCTGCTGGCTTCACATTTCTGTCTATCAGCAGAAATGCCAGAATATTTAGCTATCTGATGGTCAGTGTACTCAAAAGGGGACTCTGAAACAGATATTCAGAGTTCACTTCCCCAAATTCATGCTGACTGATCATTCAAATAATGGACAGGGGCAGCAGAATGTGGACGTATGCAGACACAGAATGAACTAGGGCAACTAAACCCTGGCCATGAATTTAATCAATCAAAAATCAGATTGATATTACGTACTTTTAAACCATTTAAATCAGCAGGAACAGATAAAAATTGTAGTGGCACTTTGGCAGCAAGGGATAGAAAATCTAGTCCTATGCCTGTCCCACATATTCAGAGCTTGCCTGGCATATGGATATATTCCTATGACTTGCAGACAGGTCAGACTGACGTTTAAACCAAACCGCAGGAAATCTTATTATACTGAAGCAACAGCTTATGATCCTATCAGCCTGCTGTATTTCCTTTTGAAGACAATGGAGAAGTTAGTGGATGGACATATAAGATGCGGTGTAGTGAAGAAGTACCTTCTGCACAGGAACCAACACGCTTCCCAAACTGGTAAATCCACCAAAACTGCAATTCACAATGTGGTAACATGATAGAAGAGGTGTTACTGAATACATGGAAATAGCACTAGAAGCATTTATTCCTTGACATAAAGGGTCCTTTGACATAACCTCAATTGATATAAGGCTTCTGAAAGGCATGGCACTGAACCCACCATTTGTAGATGGTTCTGTTCCATGCTGGAAAGCAGGAACATAATAAGTACATTCTTGGGAGAACCCTTGAGGCTGTCCAAGAGTTGGGGATGGCTGCAGGGAGGTGTGCTTTCGCCTCCGCTGTAGAGCCTGGTTGTGGACGAACATCTATGGGAGCTTAATGATAATATTGTACAGTAGGACGTGCAGATTATACTGCAATCGTAATCAATGGAAAATTCCCTCAGACTTTGTCTTACAAATAACTCTAGGCATGCTTCAACATTGGTGCAATAGGACAAATTTGTCCATCAATCCTAATAAGATGATAATACCTTTCACTAGAAAGGGGAACATTAAGGGGCTCATGAAACCAACCTTCAACATAACACTCCAGCTGTCCAGTGAGGTCAAGTACCTTTGATTAACATTAGGCAAGGGGTTGACATGGAAAAAAACAACTGGATAGAGTAACCAATAAGGCCTATAGGGCCTTTTGAACCTGAAGAAGCACATCTGGGAGAATGTAAGGACTCATACCAAAGCTGGAATACCGGATATACATCCTGAATGTAAGACCCACAGTTAACTATGCTGCCACTATGTGGTGACCTAAGGTCAATTTCAAACCAAGTAGAGCTGAACTTAGCAAACTGCAAAGGACGATTTTCTTGGGCATTACTGGAGCCATGAGGACAACTCCAATGTCTGCAATTGAGATCCTCCTTGGACTCCCCCCACTGCAACTGCAGTTAGAGGCTGATGCTAGAAGATGAATTTACAGACTCTAGTGCAGTGATCAGTGAAAACCTAAATCTGAAGGTTTTGGGCAGGCAAACATGATTCACGGCATGACAGAAGAGCCCATCCTACAGATGGGGACTGATAAACTGATACCAAGACATGTCTATGGCAAACCTTTCATAGTCAGATTCCCTGACAGAAGAGAATGGAAAGACAGGTTTCAACCTGACAGGAAAAGGGGACTAATTTGGTATACAGTTGGTTCCAAGACAAATAAAGGCACTGGGGCTGTGGGGTTTTGGTTATGGTACAAGGCAAAAGCTAAGCTTCAGCCTTGGGAAATACACCACAGTATTACAGGCAGAAATGTGTGCCATCAAGGCATGGGTTTTCCAGTTCTCTCTTTATTTGTTGCCATTCAGACTTTCTAAGCATAATTTATTCTTAATATCATATAAAGGTAAAGCTATTCCTGTAGCAGGCCCTGAAGGCCCATAGGGTTGTGAGACGTCGAGGTTCGCGCATATTCTCTAGACAATCGGCTCACAGATGGCAGTAAGGTTGTCAGCCTTATGTTCCAGCCACCCTTTACTCACCACGAAGATTCCTGGTACTCATTTCTGTTACAGGCTGAGTTGACCCCAGGGATATAGTGTGGCTGGAAGGATGTCACTTGAAAAAATCCACCTCATCAGGACTTAAACCAGCAACCTTCTGGCTTGTACCATAGTGTCTCAACTAAATACAACACTGCGGACTACAAGCCACGGAGTTTGTTTTGTTTGTTATTTCAGTCACTGATTTCAAGAACTGCATCTCAGCAGCTTGCAAACTACTTTTGTCCCTTAATGTCATGACCCAAGTTTCACAGTCATATAAGTCACTCCTTACTGCCATTGTTTTACAAAATTTCATCAAGTACCTACTGTTCTATTTGTCAAGGTTCTTTTTATGGTGCCACATATATAGTTAAATCTTTCAAGTTCGATTTGTTTCATCGTGGTCCATCACACTAATAATATTATAAAAGGTTAATTAATTTCATCCAGTGTGACTGATGAATTAAGGATAAGCCATGGTACATGGTACATGCCACAAAATTCTCACTGATGACCTGAACATGTCATGTGTTACCAAGCACTGTGTTCACGCGCCCTGACGCAAGACCAATGTGACAATCACATGACCATTTGTGGTGATCTGCTCACTAGTGCTGACGAAAATGAGACGTTTCTCAACTGGATCATTACAGGAGAAGAAACATGGCGTTTTCTTTATGATCCACAATTGAAACAACAATCAGCCATCTGAAAATCACCATCATCGGCAAGAAAGAAGAAACTGCGACAGGAGAGGTCAAACTGTTGAACTGTTTTTCGACTCGTCGGGAATTTATCCCACAAGGAGCAACTGTAAACAAGGACAGGTACAAGAAGATCCTTATCCATATACATGATTCAATTCACTGTAAGCGTCCTGAACTCTGGCATAGGAAGAGTTGGCTGTTGCTACATAGCAACGCCCCTACACATCACTCTGTTCTTGTCCAAGAGGAACTGGCAAGGCAACAGTTCACCATTTTGCCACACCCTCCATACTCACCTGATCTTGCACCGTGCAATTTCTTTCCCTTTCACCACTTGAAAGCAAAGCTACCTACAAGAGACGCTGTTTTCAGCAGCTATATCAACGTTCGCAGACTTGCATAGCAGCCAACAGCGACTATTTTGAGGGCTGATGTTGATCTGTGTAAGTGTATGTGAATACCTCATAATATGATGCGATAAAACCACAGTCCACAAACTTAATGACTGTACCACGTAAAAACTGGATACATAGACTTCTCACATTACCCCTTAAAGATAACATCAAAAATAATGAATTAAATACTATTATTAACATAGCCCTAAATAATGGTTACAGAAAGGAAGACATCCTACATTTGTATAACAAACTCAAAAAATGGAAAAATAATCTGGAAATTAAAGCTGAGATAAAACAAAGATGAATCAGCAATTGCCCAACATATACTAAATAAATGCCACCAGTATGGACCCATGATGGTAATCATGGAAATGGTTGAAAAAGCCAAAAACGGGAGCATCATGAATACAAAAGAAAACTTCCATATATATCACTTTAATAAACTAAAAAAATTGATAGACGAACAAAAACATACAAGGGAGAGTATATGTTCGACATCGTAATAAAACATCAGTACACACAAACACAAACGTCATAAGACACAAGGAGTATAAATACGTGATTCAACACACCCTAGAACAGTATAACAACATAGCACGTCTCGAACATCAACAGTACAAAATTAAAGGTAGGACAAAATAACAAAAGCTCTCATAAAAACAAAATAGGGATTATGGAAATACTACACTATACCCATAATATATTTCCAGAATCCTGTTCTCCAAACAACAGAAACACAAGGTGGTAGATGCTTGGCTTCCTTCAAAGAAATAAAAAGGACATGAAACAATTTGGTTTAAACATTTTAACAAAATCTTTTTAAACATACTAATTGCAATTTATAAATATTTTAACATATTAGTACAAGCCACTGCAGTTGTTAAAAATATTATATTTTGTACTCACTGTATTATAACATTGTACACTTGGTCATCGACTTACGTCCAGCTGTACTTACGACCACAAAAAAATGAAAAATAAAAGATGATTAAAATGTAAAAGTTTTTAAAAATAAATTATAAACATGATAAAAAGATTAGAAAGTTTAAAAAATACTGTTAATAAATATACGGCTGACATATGACCAGATTGACTTAAGATCTATCAGTCAGAACGAAGTCGGTCGTAAGTCGACGACCAAGTGTATGTATATATTAATACTCACAAAACATATTGTAACAGTGGTTTCTAATTGTACTGATATCCTCCTGCAGACGGTCTATAAGGCCAAAACATGTTAAGGATAAAATATTAAAAAGGAGAAAAAACTTCATCAGTCACAGTGGACGGAATTAAATAACCTTTTATAAAATCTTTCAATTTTTTAATTCACATAATGAAAATTAAATATTCAAATAAAATGCATAACAATCTACAAATACCAATCAGTTCACTCAAAGAACAACTGTCTTCCCCATACAGAAGCCACAAATTCAGCTATTTGTTTAGCTCTGTAGTAACATATAGACTTCTGAATGTTAGCATCATCTTCTGTTAATTCTGATAACTTCTTTTACTACACATTTGTTAAATTAAATTTTGTATAAATATTGGATATATCCTGTTTCTGTGTAGAGGGTGATCATCAGCCTCAGTTACATCCCATATCTGCTCAGGAATGGTAAAATATGAAGGTTATAATTTTTTAATGTAACAAGTGCTCCCTTTTCTCCAGAATTATACAGCATAAGAAATAACTTAGCAGTGTTAAGGTGAGCCAAATTTTGAAAATATATGAAGGAATATGAAGGAAACCATTAATTTTATGCTAAAGAACTGGAAATGAGACAATATACCTCCATTTGTTCTAGTCTCTTGCAAGTCAGTCTCTCCTACTCCTTCCCCATTGCCTGCAACCACTGTACTACCATTGCTATTACTATTCCCAGTCCTCTGCTCTCTTGGCAGCTTCTTCTTCACATTGCTCAATGCCAGCTCTCCTAGATGTGAGTTATAAGGTGTACAGTATGAGTGAGGTATGAAGCCTTCTTGCCTACTATCAGCAGCTATCACATATACCCAGTCATTTTCACGATACAAAATATTCACCACCTGAAATCATACAATAATAAAGGTAAATGTGTCCAGTGCTTCCTCACATGAAGACATACAAGTATAATGATGTAAAGCTCGACACATTCCTAACTTCAAAACTCGGTTTCACCCTCCAGCAATTTTTTCATCTGTAGAAAGAGCCACAAGTGTTTATTTAATTACATATAGCGACAATTCCAATATCATTTAATATAAGCCACTAATATATACAGGGTGTCCCAGGAGGAATGTGCCAGACTTCGAGAGGGTGTTCCTTATGTTAAACTATGCCGATAAAACCCAAAACACCTATGTCCAATGCTGAACAGTTACGGAGATAATGGCCCGAGAAAAGTGTGGTCTTCTGGCAGGTCCACGCACTGTACCTGTCAGCTGACAAGTCTTATCTATGTTTGTCCTTGAGTGTGGTGATGACAGCTCACATTAGCCCCATACACTCGCACACCGGAACGCACAGTTAGCAATGTTACATCAGTGCTTGCCATTCATGTGTCATGTATAGCGCTTAGAACTCTTAATGACAACTTTGACATGGCATGCAAGTTTTTTGCAGTTCAATTTAATGGCTTCATGTCATTCACAAGTTAGTTTGATATTACGTACATTATTAACATTATAGAAACCACATATTCCTGCCAGTTTTAATATGTATTTGGTAATCAACAAGTGTGTAACACCTGTCAAAGTTTCATTAGTACTTGGCCTATTATTCTCTTCCTCGGAAAACAGTAAAGTGGACAAAAAAAGTTGCCTTGTGGCTTATAAATTGTGCCATTTTCAATTCATTTTTGGTTTTCAAAAATCTAAACCCTCATTCAAAATTGAAATAAAAGGCATTTCTGCTGAATGTGGCAAAAGCCTGGGCTACAGACCACATGGTGGTGGCAGAACTGGTGGCAGACACAGTCTTAGTGCGACCGGGCCCGTCTACTCCCACCCCACGCAGACCTCATTTTGACACCCCTGGGAGACTCTCGGGTGATATGCAGAAACATACCCTCACAAAAATTGTGAAGAGTGAACACTTCAAGGGGAAGCATCCTTCTAGGCAATGCCGTGTTTGGGCAGTTCACAAGAAAAGGAGTACGACTGTCTACATTTGCAAGTTTTGTGTAATGCCACTTCACAGAGGGGAATGTTTCAAGAAACATCACACCCTCAAGCACTGCTAGGAGCATTGGTAAGTGTTCTGAAAAATTTTTGTTTCATAAAATTAATTAAGAGAATTTATATTAATTTTTGAAGTGAACAGTGCAGAAGTTACAGTAGTAGGTAAAAAAATGCCGGTCCCCAGGGTGATTTAAATATTTAAATTGCTGGTCCGCAAAGTGTTAAGTACCCCTTACCCCTGTGCCAAAGTGCCAAAGGGTTGAAAGAGACAGAAATAATAATTAATCTTGTCAGTTCTGGCACATAAATTGAGAAATTTTCACACATGTAAGGTAAATGTTGCACTAACATGTAGAATAGAAAATTAAAAATACTCATGTTCAAATACAGAGTGACATAAATATTACAAAACAAACTGATTGTATATCATTCAAGTGCATGGCAAAATGTTCTTAGAACAATGGAGGTTCTTGATTCATGGGTCATATTTCAACATGAGAACAATTCGAAAAAGTGGGAGCCTTCATTTACAATGGGAAAGAACACTGTCACGTGCCAGGAATCCATGGAAACACAATAACACTGGGCTGTTGCCTTGGAATACCTTAAGCAACAAAAGTGATTCCCTGGAGAGGAAAGGACAACAGAGGGTTTGTTGTATGACAACGGGAAAACCAAACTTTTGAGAAATGACCGCAAGCGGTCCACAAAAGGCATATTTAAGAGAGTTGAATATACCAGACGAGACTATGGAGTTCTACAAGTCGCCAAGAACAGTCGACAGTTGACTTCACAGAAGAGTTCCAGAGTGTACTAACGGTGTAATAGCACTCTAAGTGGATGACTGTATGCGTGTGTGCACAAATAAGAGTCCAATAAAAGAATTTGTTCCAATCTGAAAACCTGCACAATTTATTCATGTCACATCACATAGCTGACACATCACAATATACAGACTAATGCATAGTAGTAAATGCAGCACCTGACTTTATGTGGCACTATTTCACATTATTATCCAGAGACATCTACTGCTGAACCGTAAAACTATAAGCTTGGAGCTGTTGAAAAGTGAAACATCTATGTTGATATGGCATGTAGCGTTTTACTGAAAATTTAGTTAGGGTGGTATGTGTACCACCACTGGTTTCTTGGCAAGGCTAGCAAGGTGGTACATGAATGACAGCTGGGCAAAAAGGTTAATAAAAAGATGTGATGGCAGAGCCCCTCCAAGACATTAACCCTGAAGGGGGTAACGAAGCTTGCTAAAATACCGGGAAACCCTGAACATCAGACATGTCCTCGTCTCACTGGCTAAAGCTGCACATACTGTCTAAGGCTATTAAATCAAGACAGTTGAGACTGACATTTACAGGGGGTCCTGTAAGGGAAACAAGATATTCACAATTTTTGGTTCGAAAACATCATCATAACACATAAGATCTAAAAGTTTGTGATGATGGTACATTGCTAAAAGTATCATGTTTTTAAACATTAACCATCATCTTGTCTATATTTAAAAACCGTCACGTTTATTTTTCAAAACACACTATTTTGGAGACAGGTTTCTGTTTCCATCCTCAGGTAAAACCTACTCAGTTGGGACCAACAGACAGAGCCAGGCCCTATCTCTGGACACCTGTGCCAGTTTTGAGAAGGGGTATGTAAATCAAACACAACACAAACCATCTGCAAGAGCTAAGAAAATATTCCATTATTGAAACTCCACACGTATGAGGCCTTCTTTGGTGCTAAATGACGACCTTGGTAATGGTCAGCTCTTATAAGTAAGTAATTGCATATGGGTAATAAATCAGAGACAAGTCAGAATTTTGGCCAGGACATCAGTTGTGCTGGTTGTTGGTTTTCATATTTTTCCTTAGTCCTTCCAGGCAAATGCCAGGATAATATCTTAAATTGCATCATGAGCACTTCCTTCCATATCATTTCTGATTCAGCATTCACAAATCATCCAATCATTTATAGGTATACAGTCCCAAGTTACTGACAGCATCACTAAACTACAAATAAATGAAAAGGTGACAGGCCTAATTTTCTTCAGTCACCGGCTTTTCCATCACCTACCAGTGTGCCAACATAGTTCTATAGTGCACCACATTTCAGAGCATCAGTGCAAACTTAAGGCAAGTCAGTTGAAGCAGCAATGAAATGAAATAAAAGATGAATTCAGTAATCACTCTAATCCTAAAAGCAAAGGAACATTTTATACATGTGATAGTTATCTTTTGTCTGCAAAGTTCCCTCATCAAGTCACAGAGCTTATGCCAGCATACTGTCTTGCAAAGTCCAGTGCAATACTAATTGAGAAAAATAATACTTTTAAAGGGTTCTTTCCTTATTTTATTATTCAGCGGTCATAGTCAGTCCAAGCAACCATGTGGTGATGAATGTTGCATATTGTGGGAATGTGCACACCTCCAAGATACACACAGCAGATATTTAACTGCAGAAGATTCAACTTTAACAGTCCAAGCAACCATGTGGTGATGAATGTTGCATATTGTGGGAATGTGCACACCTCCAAGATACACACAGCAGATATTTAACTGCAGAAGATTCAACTTTAACAAACACTTTAAAATGTATGTTTTTTTAAAATTGGTTCTAGCTTAAAAAACAATACTGAACATTACTTTGTAAACAGAAAAGTCAATCTATATAGTATTAGTTAAAAGATATATCATTTATATCTATGACATGGTAATAGTAGTTTCCATGTGTGTTAATAATATCCTTCTGAAGATAGTCGTTTTGACCGAAACATGTAAAGGATGAACAATTAAAAACACAACTTTGATCAATCACACTGGACGGTGGTTAAAAATCTCTGTGGTCTAGTGGTCAGAGTTCCTGGCTACAGATCCAGAGCTCCCGGGTTCGATTCCCGCCACTACCACACTTACTGAGAAGTCGTGGGTCTAGAATAGGGTTCACTCAGCCTCGTGAGGATAACTGAGGAGCTATTTCAAGGAAACAGCACCTCTGGTCTAGAAAACCCGAGATTAACAACAGTGTTGATCTGTTGCGCTGACCACGCAACACCATCTACCTGCAAAATTTGGCACTAACTTCCCCGATAAGCGGCAGTCACTCAGTCGGTATAGTTCACTTGCGGACTAAAGGCCACAGAGTTTGTTTTATGGGAATACATTACATTTGTTTACCTACTGCCCTACAAGTACTATACAAGGCATATTTACACCCCACGCTGTATTTTTCTATGCACATTAATTAGTGTTTTCAAGTTTCTGGGTATATTTGATAGTTTGTATAACAAACTCAGACATGCTGCCATTATTTTGTTGAAGATATGTGGAACCTGCATACCTTTGGGGAAATACGGTCACACTCAATATTCAAATGTCATCCTATTTGTTATAAAACTTCTATGTACCTGTCCTCTTTTCACTTCCAATTCATCATCAACACATGGAGTGAAGTCATGCAACACAACCATTTTGCTATCAGGTGCAAGGCCATTTTCCTTTTCGATACCAACTCTCACCAAAGTCTCGATGGATGCACTCCCTGTGATGCGGCCCATCCCTGGTGTGCGCACCAAATCTTTGTCTACGTCTGATGCTGTAAAACACATATATTATATCTAGGAATGTTCTAAATTATATATGGGTACTTGCATACTTTCACCCAGTCAGATCACATGAAATAGTATTCTGCAGACTTTTATCGGATGGCAAAAAAAAAACATCTTTTGCAAATGAATGCCATCAGAATTATGGCAAATATTCGCAGAAGTCAGCCACGTAGAAGTATATGTAAAAACTCCATATGCCTGCAAGCATATATGTAAACAGACAGCATTTATTAGCAAGTAACTATTCCAGTGAATTCCAGCCTTGCAGCATTAAGAAGCTCCTAGTGACACTTCTCTTCTCTACTGATCAACTCACAGACTTAAACAATACCAGTTAGGTGTAAAAATACATCACATGTATGCAAGTTCATGTTCTTATAAAAAATATATGCACAGAATTTCTGTGTACTAAATTTAATTTGCCAAGAAAGACGGGTGGCACAAGTTCGGCCCTGTCAAGAAAAATGAAAGGACAAGGGACACGAACCTATTTGGTTAAAGAATTTTAACTTAAATAACAAAAAGATTAAAAAAAAACTTTAATGCATCAAGGACAGTTGCTGTAGTTGTAAGAAATTTGGATTTTGTATAAAGTGTACACTACAAATATTGTATATTTATGTATTTTAAAAATCAATAAACCCAATGTAACAGTAGTTTCTAAAGTATTAGTGTTCCCTCCAATGATGGTCTATAGGGACCGAAAGATGTTAAGGTGGTAAGAAGTGAAGTAGTAAAAGCTTCAACAGTCACACTGGATGGAGTTGTCTCATCATTTGTAATATTGTTAGTGCGACGGACCAGAATGAAACAAATCAAATTAATTTGCTTACTTTTTAAGTTCAACGTCGCTTGCTATATATATAAATGTTTTAAGGTTACTGTGCCCTGAATTATTCTAGACTTCTACTTTTAAGTATAATGAATGCATTGTATTTTAAGATGTCTCTATGTTATAATCTTTTAAATGCATTCACAATACCTTGATTTTTCTCATGTCTAGTGTTTGGAATTTATGGGCTGCATCTAATATACTTCACATGATGCATTCGGGACTGACAACAAGTTCTTAATCAGCTACAGTTTGTAAATGTATTAAAACATACAGCTAGTCAAGACTGGGAAACACTAACTTAAACAGGAATGCTGAGATAAATGTGAAGTGATTACTTGAACGATGTTCATGACGGCAGTAATAACATTTTAAAATCCTTTTATTTCAAGCATATTTCATTACTATATTAAAGCCTTACTTTTCTTCTTCTTTCCTCTCCGTATTCGAACAGGACAAAGAAAAGCCATAACAAAGATTCATCATTTACAACACAAATTCGGCCATTACCCTTGAGCTATCGATTGTTGTATTGGACGACTTCTGAAGTAGGAATATCGAAATAACTTTGCAATGGTATATATATCGATTAACATCGAATCTTCGCATAGAGCGGCAAGCAGGATATGAAAGTCAAAGGTGGTCGAAAGGAAGTATTGTGAACCGAGGAAAATAAAAGTTTCGAACTTTGGGTTGAACTTTTGTACCATTACTTTACACACATATTTAATTTTCATTATATATACATTCTCAACGGAGCAGATTATCTGTAGATTAGATGTGGCCTAATGCATACAAGCAGAGCACGGAAGCAAATATTGTTACGTGATTAACCGAAAATGACCACAGTGGACAATAAAACTAAGGTTTGTGCCACGAAACCGTATACATTTGGTTGGCAGCAGTAATGCCATTAATTTAATTACATTTTTTAGGTATACGGATATCTTGATTCAAAGATAAAGACAGGCTTGCACATTTCGTTGCTAAGAGCACTCCTGTTCCGGTAGTTGTTAGTAATTGTGATATTCCCATACTTGTTGGTATTGATGTTAACGGTTTTTAAAATTAAAGCCAGTAAAGCAAACGAAGCGAATGCAGGGAAAAATGACTGCAGATACATATATTTCATTTCATAAGTCCAAAACAAATGGACATGAAGGTCTTCATACAAAAAATTTAAACAAACACACAGATAAGAGAATAATTAAAACTAATTGTTTATGTAATGCTCCACATATTCAGAAACTGTATAAAAGGAATTATTCATAAGATATAAAGACAGTTTATTTTTAAAACTAATTCTATCCTCTTTAAGGCTTTGAATGGTTATGGGCAATCTGTTGAATAGTTTAATAGTGGTAAACATAGTACCTTTGTGAAAAGCAGAAAGATTCGAGTTTGGCAAATATAATTGCTTTCGATTTCTTGTATTCAAACCATGAACATCTAAACCTGAACAAAGTTTAGTTTGATTATCAATCACAAACATCATCAACGAGAGAAAGTATTCACATGACAATGGCAGTATATTCAATTTCTTAAAAAGATCCCTACATAAGTCTCTAGGTTCCACTCATATAATCCTAATTACTTATTTTTTTGTAATTTAAAAACTCCAACATTATTCGTTGAGTTGCCCCAGAAAATTATTCCATACTTAAGAATAGAGTGGAAATAAGAAAAATACACCATTTGTAAAATTGTTTTTACTCATAAAATAAGATAAACTCCTGATTACAAAAATAGCTGAAGTAAGTTTAGGGAGAATATACTCTAAATGACTCTTCCAATCCAAATTCTTATCAATTTGCAGACCCAAAAATTTTATCACAGGAACTTCATTCATAAACAAATTCCTGCTAGCAACTGCCAGAGAGTTATAAGACTGTTTTAGAGCAAATCTAATATTTAAGTTCAA